GATGCATATATTAAGCATATTTATTCTCGTGAAAATAGAAAGATGTTATGTAAAATCAGAGATCCCTGCAGAATCCTAGTACTCATTGTATCGTCTGATCGTTCTTGACTCTACATCTAAAACTTACAAACTCTCCATATTCTGAGAGAAAGCAGATGTTTATCCTTTATTTTAATAATCGCAAAAAGGGTCTGTGAAAATGGAATTATACGCTAGATAATTCTTCACCAAGATGTAAACAGGAAATTTATTGAAAATAAAACAAAAAAATTGAGTTTTAAAATTTCATAGAAACATCTGGTGAAATATTTAAAATACTCGTTTATATGTGATTAGTTAATAATCTAAAGCAAATCAACATAACAAATAATGTAACAGCCATGACCAGTTAACTGTTAATGCATGATTCAAATCTAGAACTATCAAACACATACTTTTTCTTCGTCGTAGGTATAAATCTGGGTGCCAGCGAAGCTGATTCTTAAGTTCTTTATGTTTTTTTAAGAACTCCCAAGGCTTTCCAACCACAAATCGCAGTTTCTGGAAATATTCCCACAGCACTCGTCATCTTTTTGAACATATTCCACAGCACTGTTATTAGCCACAATGTAGTTTTGTAGAATATGACAGACTTCATATCTTTCAGTTTGTAAATGATGCCAACTGTAATATTTTTTGCGACTAGTGTAATATACACCAGCATTTTTCATTGGCTGTACCGGTCTTGAAATCCATTGTGATGTTTTAATATAGACAATGACATTAAGTCATGAATTGAAAATGGCTTCTTCTATTTGATTTTGTCCACCACATCTTGAGATAAAGATGTTATGAGGTCAAGTTTATTTGGCAATGAGGTCATACTTCAATAATAAAAAAAAAACTGACTCTAACATAATGTCCCAAATTTTTGTGTTTTTTTTATTTTTTACATAGTCTTTTTTCTGTAGTTATACTTATATGTTGAAATAGGGTGCTTTGTATGATGTTTTGAAGACAATATGTTTATGGACTACATCTCTTGACAGAGTAGTCGATTATGTGATTAAGTTAATAACATCAACAATTTCAATGTGTTTTTTCATTGCTAAGGTAAACATACTTTTCTTTAGTAAAAAACAAAGTCTTTGGAAAAAGTCAACTGAATTTTAAATGAGTTATTACCACAGATCACAGATTTAAAATTTATGGATTTCCACTTAGTGGACTACTTTCTCTGATGTCCTTTTTTTGCATTCAAAAACAAATATTTCGGCTTGTGTCTTGATCTTAAAAAAAATGGCTATTTGGATGAATATTGCAAAACTGATAGCATAATGGCCTCTTCATCTATACTCGTGAAAAATATCCTTGAATATTTTTGTGTGAAAGTATAAAATTAAGTATTTTCATATTATTTATTGAAAGACAAATTTGTTTTTTTGCAAACGGTTGCCTTGAAAATTACAAAGAATGTCTTATTCAGAAAAATTAAGAATAATAAGTGAATTTCTTCCTGCTACACTTATTCTTCCACCTGTATTTGAAAAAGGAATACAAAATTATAGTAATTTTTTTCCTTTTAAAATACTTCATATGATTTAACTATTAAAAAATCATCCCTACACCAAAAGAATTTTTTACTTATCAGAAGTGCACATCCTTTCTGTCAGAAGGTAACTTCCCTGAGTTAAGTGATGAAGTATCTTTAATTATAAGGTTTGCAAAAATAAAATCTTAGACTTGTTTTATAAAATTTCATAGGAAAGGAAAACCATTTACAATCCTATTAAATGGATTTCAAGTGGTGAACCAGTTAAATGATTTACTTTCTTTTTCTTTGAGTTAAAAAGTAGATTTCAATGAATAACTATGATTTGTCATCATTTAAAAGGAATTTAAACTTAGACTTTTCTCATAGGAAGTTACTGAAATTAATGATATTGGAAATATGTATATCATATCACAGTTACAGTACGTCGCTTGTTAGAACAAACATTTGTCTCTAAAATAATAATTTAATGTCTATAACAATCTGGCACTGCCTGGTACAGTCCAGTACCACCCGAAACAGCAAAATACTGTTTAGTCAGGCTATTCTGGATGGTGCCAGATTGTTATTAGTATCATCAGCAATGGTGGCGAATTTGAATTTCTAAGTCGAAGCAGAGAGGAAAATAACACCCTAGAATGGCTTAAAGATACAAATTATAAGTTCTGAAAAGGTTAGTAAGGCAAACAAACTTGTTTCGTTCTGAAATGAACCTTAGATTTCTGTGTACATTGCTAGAATAATTGTTTTAACTCTCTGCATCAATGGTTGATGGTTTCTACCACTCTAAAATGAGCAGTCAATAAAAATGTAAATATCAACAACAGCATAATAAATATGAATATTGACTTTAAAGCATCATCTTAGAGACTGAAATGTTCGGTCTATTTTGGAGTAATTAATTAGTTACTCAAATGCAGTATCAAACTTTACCGTTGTCCCTGAAATGTATGACTATGCCTATATGTATCCATTACCCATAGGGATTAAATGTTTACACTAAATAACAGTTGAATAACTGCAATTGACTCCTTTGTAGTATTTTAAAATCGTGATCTAAGACAGCTAACGCTAGATATTCTTGTCATCTTAGCAGACAATATAATGATCAATATGTATATCTCAATTTATTATCAGAATTTTAAACACCTGTGGCTAGTGATATGACCAGATGACAGTGTCAGAGTTGATACCTTACCCTCTACAACACGCAATCCAAATAAACCGTCCACGTTCAAGTCTTCGTAGTTCAATTTATAGTAATTTACAAGTCTTTCCAATGCATCAACCACCTTTCCGATGTAAATCAAACGATCTTCTGACAAAGAACATGGTAAAAGTAATATGAACAGCCCAACAGCCGAGACTTTCGTCGCCATCTTTAATTTCTTGTATATACTAAAACCAGATGCGGAAATGCGTGCAAAATGTCCGCCTTTGAACTTGTGAACCGAACGAGCAGCAAAGTTTTCTAATGAGTAAGCTTTTTGTATTTTTTTTAAATAAAATTTCGTTGAAAATGTGTTTTTACATTTCAATATTTTAATATCGATGTTTCATATTCAATGCTTAACATTTGGAAAATTGTTAAGTGTTTGGTAAAAAATATACAGCAGTCGGAGTTTACTCACTTTATGCAGTAATAGTTTAATCGTTAATTATTTCAGCTCAGAACAACTTGTTAGTGCGATATCATATTATTACATTGAACCTGTTTAATGCAGTTACGTCAATTGCAAATGAAGTGCACACTGTTACTGTATAATTCCCCCGTATAATTTATTTATACTACTGTTTGGAAATGGACACTATTTTTAGTGTATATGCATATAGTTGCCGTGAAGATTGCTGAGAATTTAAAAGTGTCAGAGTACATTTTCGCCAGCCAAGGTCTAAAGTCCAACTACTTCTTCGTCAACAAATGGTTAAACAACAATTTTACAATGTCTCCGTGACTCCTCCCGTGTCCGGGTATAGTCTCACCGACGAACGACAACGTCTTGGTGAAAAGCAAGTGCGTGACCACTACAACAACTGACCATCCCGATACGCCTACTCCTTTTTCAAGAATCAAGAGGAAGGAGAGGAGGAATAAACGGATCAAAACAAAACTACAATAAAAAATAAAAACATGTAATTGAACAAGAAAAGACGTATTATACGAAGACAAATGGTATAAATGGCCATTTTCACCTAGTTCTAATGACTATCTAGTAAATAAGCATACTAAAGGGTAATACAAAGAAGTACGTGTATTTTGATGCTTTATAAGTGTGTGAAGTTTGAGAATCCTCACAGGAATGAAAAACGAAACACCCATCCGATGCAGTTCTATGAAGCGATAAAATTAAGAATATTCAGAACTTTTATTAGCATTTGTCCACCTTCATACGTATAGACCTCCCAACGAAACGCCAGGGCTGTCCTGACGTAACCATTAACGAAATCTCAGTAGGTCTTAACGTCGTAATGTCTGAAATTTAAATTGAAAAATTGAAAATGTATATTTATTAAAACTGAAAAAATACACATCATTTTCCCTGCAAACCTTACTTGCATTAACTAAGACCCGTAGAAGATAGTCTGTAAACAATAGGTCATTTTCGTATCAATTTTAAGATCTTTAATAAGTCACAGATACAATGTATCTTCTTTACGCACGATTAAATGTCCGAAATTTCGCATAAGAAACAAAATAATAAAACTATTGACATTTTGCGTTGTTTGCCATGAAAAGCTGCCAATTCAGAAGTTTAAAAATGGAAATCCATAAATTGTCATTGCACGTTATAAATGTATTCATTTTTACTACTACTAAACAGATGGTCCAGAATTTTAGAATTTAGAAATCAAGTCCAGCATATGGACATACTTTGCAAGAAGTTGTTCTCACAAATAAATTATTATCACATACCAAAACAGTACCACAAAACACTTGAAAATAACACGTTTATGACATAATTGGTACTTTTCGTGTCAGGCGGAGAGAAACGTGACAGAAGACGGGCGTTGGGATATATGGGAAAACACAGATGCTGAATGACATGACCAGGTAAGGCTACATGACCAAGTAGCATAAAAGGCCGGTCCGCGAACAGTCTCATCACAACATCGGTTGCTGAAGGTACGATCACAATGAACGGACTTCTCTTTGCCTGTTTGTTGCTTGTCGCTGGTAAGTTTTCATTTTTACCTGTACTCTATACTGTATATGCTCCTCAACGTCATCAGGATATTCCGAATAATGATACGACTGGTTGAATTGTTAACAGCCTGATTTATCCATTGAAACCAATTTTTATCTAAACTTAATATAACATCACCTAGTATTAATCGTCAACAAACTCTTGTTTCATTGACAATTAACATTATACAATCTTCAATCATCATGTGATGATATTTCCGATATTAATGTTACAATGAAAGCGTTATCTATGGTTTAATATGAACTAAAACAGATCATACGGCCGTTCATATAACGCCAATCTGGAACGAAAATTTATTGTTACTAATCCTTGATGACATTATTTAGAGCGTTTGAAGTCAAAACTGTCTGTAGTATCTTGTCATGTAATTGATAATCAACGCGTTAGTCTGAAAAATAATACGTTCTCCATTTTTTCACCTTTCCAAATTATATCAGATTGTAATTTTTTCTAAATTAAAACAGTACAGATGTGAATGGTCACTGATAATGATTTTGAAAATTTATATAGCAAGTTCCCTTCTTATGATTGCTGCAATAGCATCAATGTGGGGAGGTTTTGACTAGCTCTTATTACGTAAACCGAAGCTAGAAATATCATGAATTTTCGTCCGTAAATTTTTGAACATCTAATGTTTTTAAATTTCACCGTTATTCTATGTAGATCATAGAATTATCCAGTATATCCTCTATAAGATAAATTGAAAAACAAACTCTACTTCGTGATCATTTGTATATTTTTCTAAAAAGCTAACCCAATTCTACCGTCTTTAGGTCTTTACGCTATTTCATAGACAATGTTCAATTATGATATGGTTTCTCAACGAAGAAGTGGAATCGGTGAATGTTTTTGTAACAGAGGTTATTATTTATTTCAATGCTAGGATTCGAACAAGGGACACCTAACTTACTGATCTGACGCTCAACCGATCGAGCTAAAGAGAAGTTCTCACTAGCCGAGCGGTGTGTTGCGACTAATACCAGTTATATTTTGATTTAGTCTTTCTCTGAATTTGAAGCGCTATAGCAACAACATCCGGTACATGATTGAATCAAAATGATCAGTTGTCAAATTTTGTTAAGTTTAGGGAGAAAAAAAGAACAAAACAAAAGAATTTTGTCTGATTTTTTTTCAGAAAGGCCGAGAACTTCTTTTAAAATGTTAAAACGGATTCGAATTTAGTGCACAACTTTTAAAGATGTACACTAGCTTTTAAAATAGAGACTTTACCTTAATAAACTGGAGTTTTGTGGGTAGACAGTTATAGACTGTCCTTTTGTAGATGTGGAAATGTTCCAACTGACTTTCAATGTGAACTCTCTTCAAATTAACAATGTACTTAAACTGATATGAATGATTTTTCCTCGTTCCAGTTTATGTTGTGTTTGTTTTTTTCTCTCTCTCCCTCTCTCTCGTCACTATGCTTGTGGGGAACTTGGAAAACCACTAACGTTATGGGAAATACGCTTTCCCATTCACCAATGCCATGGCCGCAACATTTCCCTGTCAATGGTGATACCGATATTACACTCTCCTCTTATCTTTTCTAAAATTCTTTTGTTAACGCGATCATTTACGCCACTGAAAATTGTTTTCTACAACCAACTGAAGAAAAAGACCAAGACATTCCGAATAGGAGATAATACCCACAATTCTCGCGGGTCTTCCCTTAACACCAACTCTGCCTATGACAATTATATAGGAGATCAGTTGTGATGATAGTGAGTTATATTCTGGTGCAGAATTGTTGTACAAGTAACTTGTACAGGTAAATCAGATAATGAAGTTCTGATAACTGTTCAGAAAACTGTTAATAACTGTAGAATAAAGGAATCAAATATCAAACTGTTCCTATCTCAAGCTGTTCAATGGGAAATGTATTATCATATTTCAATCTGCACTTTGAAGCATCAATTTCTCATTGCTTGATTCATTACTTGACTTTTTTCACATATATAATTTAATCATGTACTTTTTTCCAACGTAGTGTAAAGTGTGTTTAATTTGAGTGATATTATTATCTGTGTGGTTTGATACAAGTACAGTACAGGATGGCTAACGCTCAGATCAACGTTAAGTTCATCACCAACAGAAGAGACGGACAGAACCTTTCTCATAATCAATTCATCTACAGACAGATTCGAAGGAATGGCAGCAGGACATTCTGGACTGTTCAACATCCCTCTCGACAGTAGACAACATAGCAGCTAACTTTGGACGAAATCCACACAACCATACCTTAGACCCAGCCAGTGTTGTAGCCAAACAGATCATCAACCAGATCACCAACAAATGCGTAGAATCTGTCCAACCCATTCCGTCCATCTTTGAGGAGGAGCTCAACCAACTCCGAGACAACGACTTGGATGACACTTCCAAGGCCGTGGTCCAGCGACTGCCAACATTCTACACAGCCAAATCGTCTCTCTACCTTGCTTGCCGCAAGCATTTCTCCTCTTTGACGACGGTGAACAGAACAACAGGATGGCCACATTCGCTACATCAGAGAACCTGGCCGAACTTGCAGCATCTGACACATTCTTCTGTGATGGCACATTCTACACTTGTCACCAGATTTACAGCATCCATGTACCGTGACAACGATGACGTCAAACTACTTGTACACCGAGCTGCTGTTCTGCCACTCATCCCCTTAAACCGCATTGAGGACGTCTGGTTACAAAACCCATGAGGAAGCTGTTGATGCTGACATCCCACATCCACATCATTCCCATATTATGTCACAGAGAGTAATGATAGGGGGATATCGAACAACCTGGAACCACTTCTCAACAAAGAGACCCCGGACTACCAACCATCTTGAAGCTTGGCAAGGGAAACTAAAGAAGGTACTGCATGCCCACCCCAACATCTACATCAACATCCAGACGCTTAAGGACATACCGAACATGAATGACATCAGCCGGATTCAGAGAGATGCAGGAGGCACCATTCAACCCCGGAATTAGAAATACGCCTGGCCACCATGAAGGACTGTTATCAGACTGGGACGACCGACCTGATGACCTATGCTGATTCAGCATCCGAGATTCTCCTTCTTGGATAGAGTATTTAGTGTTTTCTAATAGAGACTTATCAAGTACTTGACTATCAAAGATTGCAAAAGGCCATAATATCTAGAGCAAGAGGATAATATATTGTCATAGATAACCGAGTCAGTGCTAATTCAGCTTCATTTAGTGGTTTATTTATTCATTTTAAATAATAGTTTATTTTTATGCTAAAATGTGCATATTGATTCACTATCACATGTATGAATATAAAAATTTAATTGCTGACATCAGTATATCAATGTGACTTAATGAATTTTATCTATTAATTAGACATAATCTTACATGATAATAATTAAATAATAATATTGAATATTAAAGTTTAATAACTATTTTATAATGCTTTTATATGCTAAAAATGTGTTACAATTATGTAAAACAAACAGAAACTTTTTATCTATTTCATTATTGATATGTAAGTATCCTATTTACAAAATAAGTTGACATTCTTAGTTGAAACAGACTATAACTTTAGCTTCAAAGGATTCCCTATATAAACACCTTTCTTTCAAGTTGGGAGAGTTGGTGTTCGGGGAATGAGCCCATTCTCGCATCCCACTTCTACAGCAATGTGAGAAAAACGATTATCCGACTGTGCTGAAAATAACACATTTTCAAAATTTGGCGGGAAGCTACGAATTATTGCATCGTGTTTCCAAAACAATAAGGTCACTGAATTATAAGGAACTTGGGTAAACCTCCCAGATTACAGATTTATTAATGAAATTATTGGCCGTCAACACTTCAAGTCTAGAGTCAATCCATAAGGCGGGTACATTTTATTTCTCGTATAATTATATTTTCTGTATCATAAGGCGTACGTCATGGAAATACAGAAGAAACAGAACGTATGAAATATACTATCATATTTTTTTCTTTATTATACATTCATCTGAAATAAATCCAATCTTATTCTTGAGTAAAGAAACGTGTTTTCATATCAGGTAATAAACGAGTCTCGGTTGTTGGAGATGACAAATTAAAATTCACAATTTCAGATTCCTGGGCGTTGCCCCATGAGGTCGTGGTACCAAGACATCCTAACGAGGACCTTATAAAGGCCGCCAAACCGGTACCAAGACACCCCTCCGAAGACCTTATCAAGGATGCCGAAATGGTAAAGATCGACAGAGAAAAAAATTCATATAGTTCCCACTCTGAACGGCCTACCTAAACCAAATATCTTCGACATGGCTCACTAACACACATAACACACCCTCACCAAATATCACACGACCTGGCTCACTAACACACATAACACACCCTCACCAAATATCACACGACCTGGCTCACTAACACACATAACACACTCTCACCAACCATCACTTGACCTGACTCACTAACTCATATATGAGACACCTTAACCAACCATCACTTGACCTGACTCACTAACTCATATATGAGACACCTTAACCAACCATCACCTGACCTGACTCACTAACTTGCACTTGAAACACCCTCAACAAACATCTCATGACCTGACTCAATAACACACATGATACACACTCACCATACATCATCTGACCCGACTCACTAACACACACATGAGACACCCTCACCAAACATCACCTGACTTGATTCACACCCATTTTCCAAACTATTTCACTTTCCAGCATATATGTAATGGACGACATAACGAAATCCCTATGGACTTGAAAACCTATCAAAAAGTAAACCCTCGCGAAATTGGCAGTAGGTTTAACAAATCTAGAGGGTTTTCAGGATGGCGAACATTACAAGATCCTGGAAAGTGAATAGAAATATTCAGTTTGCAATATTTAATTGCATTGACACATGTTCAAATTAGAAAAAAAGAAAGAAATAAAAAAAAATTAGATAACTACAAAATCTTCCATGTAAAATATATTGTTCTGTTTACAAAATCTTCAATTTCGAGAAAAAAGAAAATATTATGGATTTCAGATATTTCACAAGTTTTGATGAATACAGTCCAGTGTCCAAAAGTACTAATTTTAAATCTGGAGTTTTATATACTCTTTATCTGTCTAACCTAAAGGGGCTATTTGAGTATGAATGAGTATAGTGTTACACCTTATGATGCCCGGAAGGGAACATGTGATGCATCTGTTTACCCAGCAAACTTGAAGTTCTGCTATAGAACAGAAGCCTTCTAATTCTGAATTAAACAGCACTAAAACCTTAGGAACTCGTCTGAATTATTTGTTAAATTAATCCGTCACTTTCTTGATTCAGAGATCTCATACCAGAATCATCGGAGGAGCAGATGCGAGCATTAGTGATTTCCCATGGCAAGTGTCACTCCAATCATATTTCAACAGCCATGTATGTGGAGGGGTCATCCTTGACGACACAACGGTTCTTACCGCTGCTCACTGTTTAGGAAGTCTGACAAGGTATGTTGCGATCATCATTCTTGATATTGAATTTATGAGTATTACAAATAATTTTTTGCCATTTGATACCGAGGATAGCTCATAATTCCACTCTTAGTGTGTGTGAAATATATATTGGCTTTGTAGTTTTCAAACAATATAATTAGGCCCACAGACCTACTCGGTCAGAGTACAGAGACATGCAGCAGGAAGAAGGATTACCAATTTGACATTCACGAGACTTTTAGCAAAACCCTACAAAATATCTGTCTCCTGGACTTGAAGGTCGCAGCAACTTCATTTATACAAATATGTTCACCTTTCCGAAGTGCCATTTTAGAACTAATGATAAAGGCGGAGTATAATTTTAAAGCAACAAGCAAACAAACAAACAACATGATTTATACAAAATATTGCCCAAAATATATTTTAGACCAAATGGCGTTATAGACTGCAAGCTGGAAAATCCCTTCCCCTCAACTTTTCTCCGGAGGTAGAAGTAATATAATTAGAAAAATAATTGCCCGACCTCGGCGAAGTTTTAAACCAAATTTAAAACTACACTCAGATGGCAAGGAAAAGGATTTTAGAGCTAACTTCTTCAGAAACAGTCTTTTTAATTCAAGAACTGGCTACCTTTCCTCATGTATGATTTAGATAAAATTTGTCTGAAATCCACACTGTAGTTTAGTTTTACTACCATACCAGGAGATCAAACCGACCTCATTTATATATTTTTCAATTTCAACTCAAGTTGTACTCAATGAAACTAATAAAAGTAGCCTGTTTCATCTGACAAGGAATTTGAAGAGATTAACATGAATATCTTATGAATGCAGATTATGTTCGGGGAAATCACCCTTACAAATGTTTGATGCTAAACTTATAACATCTTTCAATAAAATGATTCAAATTTACTCCAGACTTGCAGAATATGAATTGATAAAGATAGATAATACATATGATAATTATTTAACAAATCAAGATATGATATTTTGGTAATTTTCAGAACAAATTTGTTTTCCATGTTTTGATATCTGCTTGAGATGCCGTCTGCTACAAACTTTTAATCCTTCCACTGCTTGCAAATGAAAATCTCTAAAAATACAAAGAGCGTCCACTGAGCGATTTTGATTTAGAACTGGATACATATAAAATCGACAAAAGCAAGATTCGATGCTTAAAATAATTATTTAACTACCGACAATCACCTTGTGGACTCCCACACGATGTTCCCTTAGGTCTAATTAACTTAATTTATTTCAAAGATACTCTTGAGGTTAGATTATGTAAAACAGGTAAACACACCTCGGTAGGGATCACTAGGACACCTGTGTACATATAACATGTAAATATTAACGAACATGTCACACATTTATGTGTTACAAAATTTTAGGGTGAAATACGCCACTGCAAATTTAAGAGGCGGACGGACTACCAGTATTGTTAAGCAGATAAGGGTAAGTATCTAGATAATGAGATATTAGAATAGACACGCAAAACGCGCACAGCGCACCATAAGCCTTCAAGCTTGGCGCAAGCTTTTGAACAATTTAAATGCATATTCAGATAAATGGAAGATGAGAGTCATACGGGAAAAAACTAAAAATGTTGTTTGCCGTAATTAGAGTAATATTAAAGAAAATGAGGCTCGGGCATAAAACGAGGAAAGTATTACAATCATTGGCCAGTCATGCTACTTGGGCATTTGGTGTTAACAACAAAATTAGCTGTTTGATTAAGCATGTGGTTGATCAATAACCAAATCACTTTTTTTCTCTTCGCTTCAAATGAAGCAAAATTAACTAGGATTTTAAAAATATGCGTCTTTTTGTTTGGTACGTTGTGAGTATTCTTTTTATGACTATAAAGATTGGTACGTTGTCAGTATTCCTTTTTATGATTATTAAGATTGGTACGTTGTAAGTATTCTTTTTTATGATTATTAAGATTGGTACGTTGTAAGTATTCCTTTTTGATGATTATTAAGATTGGTACGTTGTCAGTATTCGTTTATATGATTATTAAGATTGGTACGTTGTAAGTATTCCTTTTTGATGATTATTAAGATTGGTACGTTGTCAGCATTCGTTTATATGATTATTAAGATTGGTACGTTGTAAGTATTCCTTTTTATGACTATTAAGATTGGTACGTTGTCAGTATTCCTTTTTATGATTATTAAGATTGGTACGTTGTAAGTATTCTTTTTTATGATTATTAAGATTGGTACGTTGTAAGTATTCTTTTTTATGATTATTAAGATTGGTACGTTGTAAGTATGTAACCATTGTTTTAATCAGTAATTACGGTAAAAATGTTGGAGAGAATTCATCATGGAAACCGTTGACAAATTATGAAGAAATCTTGCGAGAAATGTCTGAGATAGCCAAAACAGTATCGTTTCTATCTTTAACTTGGCAGCATGCAAACTTTGATCAAGGTGATGGAGCCTATCCGAACGATATTGCTATCCTGAAGGTTAATTCAATGACTCTAGACGCAAACGCAAAAGCAATAAACGTGATTGATAAAAGCCTCGCCAGCGGAACAGAGTGCACGATCACGGGCTGGGGAGTTACAACTACTGGTAAATATAATACACTAAGTTCAGCACGTTTTTGTGGTTCCGTTTTACAAACTTGATTGACTTCTACAGCACTGAGCATGTTTTCTGTGGTTGTACAAATTTACTGGTAAATATAATACACTACGTTCAGCACGTTTTTGTGGTTCCGTTTTACAAACTTGATTGACTTCTACAGCACTGAGCATGTTTTCTGTGGTTGTACAAATTTACTGGTAAATATAATACACTAAGTTCAGCACGTTTTTGTGGTTCCGTTTTACAAACTTGATTGACTTCTACAGCACTGAGCATGTTTTCTGTGGTTGTACAAATTTACTGGTAATACACTAAGTTCAGCACGTTTTTGTGGTTCCGTTTTACAAACTTGATTGACTTCTACAGCACTGAGCATGTTTTCTGTGGTTGTACAAATTTACTGGTAAATATAATACACTACGTTCAGCACGTTTTTGTGGTTCCGTTTTACAAACTTGATTGACTTCTACAGCACTGAGCATGTTTTCTGTGGTTGTACAAATTTAAGGATGTTTTTGCTGTTTTACATATTTGAGAATATTTTCTTCTGTATAACAAAGTTTAAGATATTGTTTTGTCGTTTTCTCTATTTGAGCCTGTTTTCTTTTGCTTAACAAATTTGAGCATGTTTTCTTTTGCTTTACAAAATTGAACATGATTTTGTTTATTTTATAAAGTTGACCATGTTTTCTGTTGTTTTACATGTTGAACATGTCATCTATTGTTTTACAATGTTGTAGGATGTTTTCTGTCTTTAGGATAATTCGTACACGTTTTATTCAGCTTTATAAACATTTGTAGATGGGTATGTTTTTGTCGTTTTATAAAAGTAACACGTTCATGTCGTTATTTTCCTGATTAACAGACATTCTCCGTAATTTTCGCGGCAACCATTTTGAAAATAAATCTTCGTCTTTTATTCCGAGGTAAAGGTATGAAATTTTGATATTTAGAAAAAACTGATGTGAAATGCTACGTTTTCATCTGATTCAATGAGCTTTAACTGCAGAGCAACCAAAAAATGAAAATTTTCCAAAATGACTTATCTCCTTTATTTGATCATCTTCTAGTATTTAGGGTTTTTTTTAAATAATATTTTTTGTCTGGATAGAGAAATTTTCGAGGGTGCTTTTCATGGTTGAAAAACATAGGTCTCCGTGCTGGAATTATTAAAAATCTGGTAAAATGGTTTACGAAGTCGACATTCACGAATTCAAAATCGGAAATGTGGTGATGATTTATGCAAAATCCGACTGAAACATACTCAAGACTTCCAGAATTCTTCTCAATAGAAGTACCTTAATGACCAGAAACTGAATCATGCCGTCAAAAAAAGTACTCCTCTATCTAAATTTCTTGTCCTGTTTTGCTGTATGAAATCTATACAGAGTATAGCAAGTTCGGTGTCATTTCATAAAATTGAGGATATTTAGTTACACAATGATAACACATTATCCGGAAACGTGATTTGTATTTTCATTTCGCAGGCGGTGGTGGCAGCACGTCGAACATCCTACAGCAGGCAAAAATGGAAGTCATCTCTGACAGTGTGTGTGCGATTACCTGGGGAAGTAACATATGTAATACCTGTCACATCTGCATCACAGGTGACGATGCGAGAGGGGCATGTAATGTAAGTTTTAATTTTATGGTCTTGTATCTGGTAAATGTATGTCAGTGGTTTATTGTGCAGCATAAAAATTCTGATCATGAACCGTAAAGTGTCAGTGTGTAATATGTAACATCAGTGACCTTAACGTGAAGTCGTGTAATATGTAACATCAGTAATTGTAACGTAAAGTTGTGTAATATGTAACATCAGTTACTGTAACGTAAAGTCGTGTAATATGTAACATCAGTGACTGTAAAGTCGTGTATTAGAAAATCATTGTTGATTAAGGACATTTTGTAAATGCAATGGAAGATCCTTTGTGTGATGTGCAGTTACCGCGAATCACGGAATTAGTATACGTTTGGTCTCCTTAAACGTTAAAATGTCGATATATTTGTTGTCACAGGGAGATAGCGGTGGACCTATGGTGTGTGATAATATGTTGGCCGGAGTGACATCTTGGGGAGTTTCTGGCTGTTTACCAAATTATCCGTCCGTCTATACAGATCTATACCACTACCGTAATTGGATCGAAACAAATAGGAATTGAATATCCATGTCCGCCATTCTCTAAATATGTAAAATGCTATAAAGATAATAAAACAACTTCACACTATCCACAGGTCATGGGTAACTTGTTTATTATTATTATATAAAAGTTTTGTAACACATTACAACTGCCTTCAGTAATGTCGGAGTACACAACTCGTGTAATATGTAACATCAGTAACTGTAACGTAAAGTCTACATCTATCGTCCACTGTTCTGTCATTTGGCTGACCATTATACAGTGTGTGCGCGGCGCTTCATCTGACAAATTATATAAAAACAAGTATGATGAAATGATATTTAAGAAGAGATATATATTTGTACTGAATGTGTGTATTGTGTAGTGTGTGTCCTGTAACTAACTCCTCATCCCACTGCTAGTTTGACCAATCCGGCTACCGTAGCGGCCTCAGGAGATAAACTCCAAACGGCACAGCTCTCACTACCAGTTTCAGAGGAGATATTCTGGATAGTAGATTAAAAATAAGAGTTGATAGCCCCTGCTTGAAGGATACCAAGTCAGAGGCCTCAACTACAGTGGCTGGAAGAGAGTTCCAAAGTGGGATAGTAGATGGAAAGAAACTGTACCTGAAAGTGTTTTTGGATGAGGGGAGATGAGAGACCTTTAGTGAGTGGTTCCTATGAGTGGAAGTTGTAGATGGTGTTAAGTAGGTTTCTGTTGTGATATCCACTAACTTGTGGGCAATCTTGTACATGATGGTGAGCTGGATCTTAAGCCGTCTTGATTTCAGTGCAGAGTCTGCATCATGTCAGATACGCTGCTGGTATTGCTAAATCTGTTGGTGGTGTACCGCGCCGCTCTCCTTTGGGTCATCTCCAGTTGATCAATTTGTTTCTTGGTGTGTGGGCTCCACACTGATGAGCAGTACTCTAAGGTTGGGCGAACAAGTGTATAGTATGCACGTGCCTTTATATCCTCATTGGAGATCTTCAGATGTCTTCTGAGGAAGCCAAGAGTGCTGTTTGCTTTCTTGCATATTCTATCTATGTGATGGTTCCAAGTTAAGTCTGCTGAGAGATCCATCCCGAGATACTTGCTTGAATTTGTCTCCTCAAGTAAGTGTCCTTTAAAAATATTTCCACTGATCTTCTGTGGTCATGTCTTTACTTTTGGGATCAAAATCCTGCCATGCGGTCTTCAGGTCCTCCTTCAAACTATCATAATCTCCCCTATTGTACAGGTATACCTTCCTTGGTGGTACATCATCATGATTAGATATGCCTGGTATGATCTCCTTCTTGTTAAGTAAAGATGGGTTATTGATAAAGAGTAAGTCCAGTATTGTCTGTGATGTTTCAGTGATCCTGGTTGGTGTGTCCACTATCTGTTCCAGTTACGCATCTCCTGTAAGGATAAGAAGTTGCCTACATATGGTGGAATTAACTGCACCCTGCTTGACACTTCCGGTTTCCCAGTCGATATCCGCTAGGTTGAAATCCCCTCCTCTAGGGATCCTACAGATATATTTATGGAGAACCTCCAGGTACGATGGATCTCTGTTGTCTGGTGGTCTGTAGAATGATGCGATATAAAGGTGTTTAGCATCTTTCATGCGAACCCTTGCCCATACGAGTTCAACTTCCTCCTCCACTTGGAGTTCCTCCGGTTGATCACAATGCAGATCGTTGGATACAAGCATTAAGACTCCCCTTCCATTGCTGTTCCGGTCTTTCCTAAATACTGTGTAACCTGGAGGAAAAGAACTACTTGTTGTCATGGACGGGTCTAGCCAAGATTCTGTACCAATGATAATATCGGCCCAGGCTGCATCATGTTGGTAAACTCAGGTTTCTTATTTTTAATGGATCTACAGTTTACATTTATGAATCTTAGAGGGAGGTCCTGCCTCCCATGCTGGTGGGGAGTTGGTTTGTTATGACCCCTATGTGGAGATGATGTTGCATTTGGGCTGCCATAACTATCATTTAATGCTAATGTGTCATTCAGATGGTCAAATGAATTTGCAGTCTCGAAGATGATTGTATCAAATATCGACATAGAAAAATTTGGAAGGCCACAATGGATACACTCCCATGAGACGTTCTTCAAGGATTGGTAAATAATACTAGACATGCCTATACATTCATTGTGATACCATGTGTTACACGAGTCGCAACAAATACCAGGTGTCGACCATTTCACAGCCCTGGTACAGATACCACAAGGGTATTTGATGATACGGGGGGCAGGGTTGGGTTCTGGGGCATATGACTCTGCCAGTATAAGGTTACACAAGTATATGAGCACCAATTTTTGGCGACTGACACGTTGTTTCTAGGGTATTGACACAGTGAACTGGTTTGTCAGGACTGAGAAAACATTCTGTGGCTTTATACGGGATGTAACATTACCTTCAGAATTCTGGTCTATCAATTACTGTGAAATCCTTACAATCAGAAGGGCTGAGAGAAATACAATTGCCGTGTACCTGTAATCCACCATTGTAAAGCGGAAGGTAAACAATCAAAGTCGTGTAATATGTAACATCAGTTACTGTAACGCAAAGTCGTGTAATATGTAACATCAGTTACTGTAACGCAAAGTCGTGTAATATGTAACATCAGTTACTGTAAAGTCGTGTTATATGTAACATCAGTAATTGTAACGTAAAGTTGTGTAATATGTAACATCAGTGACTGTAACGTAAAGTCGTGTAATATGTAACATCAGTGACTGTAATGTAATTGTGTAATATGTAACATCAGTTACTGTAACGTAAAGTTGTGTAATATGTAACATCAGTTACTGTAACGTAAAGTCGTGTAATATGTAACATCAATTACTGTAACGTAAAGTCGTGTTATATGTAACATCAGTGACTGTAACGTAAAGTCGTGTTATATGTAACATCAATTACTGTAACGTCGTGTAATATGTAACATCAGTTACTGTAACGTAAAGTCGTGTTATATGTAACATCAGTTACTGTAACGTAAAGTCGTGTTATATGTAACATCAGTTACTGTAACGCAAAGTCGTGTAATATGTAACATCAGTTACTGTAACGCAAAGTCGTGTAATATGTAACATCAGTGACTGTAAAGTCGTGTTATATGTAACATCAGTTACTGTAAAGTCGTGTTATATGTAACATCAGTGACTGTAACGTAAAGTCGTGTAATATGTAACATCAGTGACTGTAAAGTCGTGTTATATGTAACATCAGTTACTGTAAAGTCGTGTTATATGTAACATCAGTGACTGTAACGTAAAGTCGTGTTATATGTAACATCAGTTACTGTAAAGTCGTGTTATATGTAACATCAGTTACTGTAAAGTCGTGTTATATGTAACATCAGTGACTGTAACGTAAAGTCGTGTAATATGTAACATCAGTTACTGTAACGTAAAGTCGTGTAATATGTAACATCAGTTACTGTAACGCAAAGTCGTGTAATATATAACATCAGTTACTGTAACGCAAAGTCGTGTTATATGTAACATCAGTGACTGTAACGTAAAGTCGTGTTATATGTAACATCAGTTACTGTAATGTAAAGTCGTGTTATATGTAACAACAGTTACTGTAAAGTCGTGTTATATGTAACATCAGTTACTGTAACGTAAAGTCGTGTAATATGTAACATCAGTTACTGTAAAGTCGTGTTATATGTAACATCAGTTACTGTAACGTAAAGTCGTGTAATATGTAACATCAATTTCTGTAACGTAAAGTCGTGTTATATGTAACATCAGTTACTGTAATGTAAAGTCGTGTTATATGTAACATCGGTTACTGTAACGTAAAGTCGTGTAATATGTAACATCAGTTACTGTAACGCAAAGTCGTGTTATAAATAACATCAGTTACTGTAATGTAAAGTCGTGTTATATGTAACATCAGTTACTGTAACGTAAAGTCGTGTTATATGTAACATCAGTTACTGTAACGCAAAGTCGTGTAATATGTAACATCAGTTACTGTAACGTAAAGTCGTGTTATATGTAACATCAGTTACTGTAATGTAAAGTCGTGTTATATGTAACATCAGTTACTGTAACGTAAAGTCGTGTTATATGTAACATGAGTTACTGTAACATAAAGTCGTGTTATATGTAACATCAGTTACTGTAACGTAAAGTCGTGTTATATGTAACATCAGTTACTGTAAAGTCGTGTTATATGTAACATCAGTTACTGTAACGCAAAGTCGTGTAATATGTAACATCAGTTACTGTAACGTAAAGTCGTGTTATATGTAGCATCAGTTACTGTAAAGTCGTGTTATATGTAACATCAGTTACTGTAATGTAAAGTCGTGTTATATGTAACATCAGTTACTGTAACGTAAAGTCGTGTTATATGTAACATCAGTTACTGTAACATAAAGTCGTGTTATATGTAACATCAGTTACTGTAACGTAAAGTCGTGTTATATGTAACATCAGTTACTGTAAAGTCGTGTTATATGTAACATCAGTTACTGTAATGTAAAGTCGTGTTATATGTAACATCAGTTACTGTAACGCAAAGTCGTGTAATATGTAACATCAGTTACTGTAACGTAAAGTCGTGCAATATGTAACATCAGTTACCCTAACATAAAGTCGTGTAATTTAAAACATTTTGGGATTCCTGTAAATTGAGGAGCCATTTAAATATTTAACGTATTTGACCCCTGTGTGACATTGAAATCTGGCCAAGGTAATTCATTTAAACATACTTTTTTGCACTTTACCCCAGTATCCTACATACCCACATGTCCAACAGAAGTACCCTGGCTATCAAGAAGAGATCGCTTGTAGAGAAGATATGACGCCGGATGGACAGACGGACGCCGCTCCCTTCGGACAGGCGAGCTAAACATATATACATACGCATGAGATAGTGGTAGTTATATATACTTCTGTGTCAAAAAGTATCTATTATAAGATTTTTTTTAAAAAGTCACATAATGACACATTTCGATACAAACAGAAAGTTAGATTAACTGTAGCCATATAAGTAATAAATGAAATCTGATAATTCAACTAACATACAATTTGTACTGAAACTATATCAAGCAAAACAAAACATGTAGTCGATGTCCATTATGTTAAGAGACAATATTGAGAAAGTTGTTGATAAATTGAGCCTACCGGGATGACTTATAAATACTACCTGGGCAGTTTATTACATTCCAACTTATGAGAAACTGTGAAACATCTCAGATTGTGACATCATCAGAAAGTAGTAAATCATTCTACCAGACAAAACTACACACTACAGAAATGTATTTTCTGTGCTCACTGCAATCAACGGGAACCCTCACGAAGACTATTATAATAGTTTATCTGGCAGTAGCTTGCTACCTAAGGAAAAACTAGACGATAATTTCTGCAGTAACGTAGTTTTAAAGAAATGCAATAATGACATTTTCAAACGCGCACATAATCAAGTGCATGATGAAGCAAATGGTTAGCAGCATGATAAACAGAGAAAATAGGAATTGTTTTCGAGTGGTCAGATCATCTGACTTAATCAATGTGTATTCGGATCAGATGTCGCTCATTAACATATGAAGTAATATTATTATAATATGACTAATGGCAAAACAATTGGACAGAGCGCAGTATTGCATTTATTGTGTTTCTAACTAGACCTTGGTGATTTGTTTTTCTTAGTTTCTCCTTTCGGACAATCTCTTTATATTTGCCGAGAACGATGCTTATCGCGCAGTCTCTCAGTCAGTCTCTTGTTATTTGCACATGCGAAGCGTCCTGTTGAGCCTGACTATTTGTAGCTATATTCACCAATGACGCAAAGCATCACTGAGAATTCCACTTCCGTTTTACAACTTCGTAACTTACAGTGAGCATGAATTTCTATGATTTTTTAAAAAATAAATTATTACGATTGAACTTGCAGAGTTAAGAGCATATTATGAATTTGAGAATGAATTAAACAGTAGCGGAAAAGCAGCTAAAGGTTTTGAAATATAGGCGGTCGGCGGGTCCATTTCATGTATTTTTCAAAAATATCGGAGTAGGTTCAATTGAGGGATTTATATACAACCCTACGCAAATTTTGAGTGCTATATCCTGACTCACTTGTACAAAAATGGTAAAACATGAGATAACTCGATAAGGGTTTCAAGAAATAAAACTGATCAGGACCGGTTCGAGGTATGTAATATAAGTAATATACCGTGTACATATTTCAAAGTTGGGTGACTGTTGTACTTACACACGCTGGTAAATCTGAGAGGTTTTTGTCAAACTAGGCCAGTGCTGTCATTGTTCTAGCTGCTGACGACAGTCAATCTGAGGAACACTACGGTATCAATCTTACTTCACTCCCGTCTTTTATCCGCCATAAAAAGACAGGCCTAGTTTGTACCAGCGTGTAAACAGGTCAGACATGAAGGGGAATACCCTTCAGCGAGATAAAAATAGCTGTTACCCTTACTTAATATTGAACTGGAGTTCCGAATGGAAGCGTAAGTTCCACGCTGGCTGTATACACATGGCTAGATTGACAGGTATAATCTGTACGTGGAAATAGAACAATATATAACCTAACACATTAACAACAAACACACATGATATATATAAAATAATAAGAACCTTCACGCGAAAACATTTTGTTACAAAACAGAGAGTTATGGGGTCATTATTGACGAAGCTTGCTGATGTAATGCACAGTTTCTCTAGTGGATCTACAACTCGGATTCTAATGCTGGGATTAGATGCGGCAGGTAAACATTATTCGTTTATTATTCTTTAAGATTATTCTAAGTCATGTATACTGTTTTGATATAAGATATACATATAGTTGAAAAGTTAAAGATTTATAGGTTTGGTTACCAGAGCATTATTGTTTACATAATAATACTTAATAATACTTCCAGGTAAGACGACGGTCCTGTACAAGATCAAACTAAACGAGAACGTGTGTACCATCCCGACGATCGGGTTTAACGTGGAGGAGGTATCCCCGTGTAAGGGTGTGTCCTTTACCGTATGGGATGTCGGCGGTCAGGACAAGATCCGACCGTTGTGGAGACATTACTATCAAGACACCGAAGGTAGGTGTTCAACAGGTCACTCTAGTTATGTTAGGAAAGTAGCACACGATTGCACGAAGAAGATTTTGTACGAGTTTCAATTTCCAGTTAAAATGACGGAGTGGTCATCACATTGAATGATATTGCTAACACTCGGTCAAAAATGTTTTTGCATATGTCGTCTTGAAATCTAATACATGGGTCGTCCACTTTATGCCGTCACAACGCATTTGAACGTCAGTAAAGACTTATTTCAAAGTCGATGGAAATCAGAGACCTAGGTTTGCCAACTTAATGATTTCACGTATGGACAAACTACACAAACTCTACTCAGACAGAACAAAGCAGTACTTTATGCTCTGTTGTGATATCAGTAGTGATCACAACACAATCTATCGGTAGTTTTTGATACGTGCATGACATAGTATAGATCACAAAACAATTCAAATTGTCACTTCCCGATCTCTCCCAGAATGCATCGCGGTAATGTAGATCAAAGGTTGGTCACTTTCCACGGCACTGTTATCTCCGCAGGTCTGGTTTACGTCGTAGACAGCAATGACAGGGAAAGGATAAATGAGGCCCGGGAGGAACTCTTCGGTATACTAAATAATGATGAGATGAGAGGTGTTCCGGTGGTTGTGCTTGCGAACAAACAGGATCTGCCACGTAAGTTCATTCGCAGAGTATCTGAGCAAAACTTGCACATGTAGAAATTCTACCTTTAACCGACACTCCTTCGAAATTAATTTTTGATTAATATCTGATAAAGATATTTACTCTGATTACAGACGCCATGAACACAGCCGAGGTAGCCGACAGGATGTGTCTAATGAAACTGACTGGGCGGAAGTGGTTTGTACAAGGAACATGCGCAATGACAGGGGACGGTATATATGAAGGCATGAGAGAGATGGCGAGACTTACCAAAGAAAACAAAAAGAACCATAGATGATGTACTCGTGTTTCTCCGTAGACCAAGAATGTTTATAACTCTCCTAAATGCATTAAATCTATAAACTGCGCGTGATACATTTACATATGTAAATGACACTGTGATATGAAATGAAGAAGCTTCCGATCATCACACGTGGATGACCTACACTAATGATGGTAATTCGTAAATCAGCTGATACGACAATATTTGTACATAATACTTAGGTCAATATGTATCAAATTCTTTGTAACGTTTCAAATTCAAATATTAGAAAAATACAAAAAAAAATGTGTGATAGTTGTCTCCACTATGAAATATGTTGTTACGTGATCATTTTGTCGTTTTTATAGATATCGTTTACATGACCATGTATGAGTTGTCAGTATCAAATTTTACAGCTACATTTCTATGTTTTTGTATATCTATTGTTAATAAAAAATAAATTATAGATATTGGACTTTGTGGTAGTTCCTTTTTTAATATACAGTCAATTTGTTAGCTTTGTTTTTAACTTATTGGTTGCTTCTCTCACCCTTAACTGAAGTATCTATTGGGGCGGTAATATTCATTCTGGTGATACCAGGCGACCAAAATCAATTAGAAATCAAAACCGTATTACAAATAGTTCGTGAAATGTTTACATTACATGATTAATTAACATATCCATAGAATCACAGTTAAAACTAAAATCATAGCAAAAATGAAAAAGAGAAAGAAAAACTACGACACCGATTCAAGGTATTTTCGAATGTTGAACGTCATTTGCTTCACCGACGCAGCAGCCAAGTAAATCTTGGTCAATCCAAGTTACAATGTCACGTTCACAAATGAGAACATAATAACGAGCATCAAACACATCCGACTCGCAAAAAGAAACAAAATATTTCCTATTTAGGTCATTATGATTACCACAAACCTCCCCATATCTTTAAACAACCTCTAGAATCAAAAACCTGTGTTGTGGGATTATCAGTCATAATGTGATACTGGGAACAAGTCATTGAATATGGAATCAGATGGAGAAGTTGCTACCAAGAAATGAAAAACCAACAATAAGGAAATTGACATCATGTCGCTTATCATAGAGATTGGTTCGAATTCGGATGGGTAGATACAATATGCTCAATATTATTTTCATTATTTAATGAATTCTAGACTGTTTCAAGTAAACAGTATCACAGTAAGACTTACTCTGATTTGATAGTACTAAGAATGATAGTAAGACGTTTTGATAAAGGTTCATGTGAACTTCTCGATGAGCCAGCAATAAAAATTTGTTTACATGGATTCTTGTGAAATCTAGGAATATAATATAGATAATAGGTCATCTAAATGATTGTAATACTGAAGCATAATTATCTAGCATTTCGTCTCTGGAAAGGTTGGATTAATGTTAAGGTAGGGTTTCTTTCAATATTGATCAAACCTAGTTGTTCTAATTTGCAAGAAATGAAATAAGGTCTACTATCCATGCCTTATCCTTGAAGGAAAGCAGTTGATTTATAGCGCTGCTATCTTCCTTATAGAACATTACATAGATAGAAAGAGCTGATATCTCCATTATAGTACACGGTATAGATAGATTTAAAGTGCTGATATCTCCCTTATAGAACATGATATAGATAGAAAGAGCTGAAATCTCCCTTATAGAACACTATATAGATAGATTTAAAGTGTTGAAATCTCCCTTATAGAACATGATATAAATAGAAAGCGCTGAAATCTCCCTTATAGAACACTATATAGATAGATTTAAAGTGTTGAAATCTCCCTTATAGAACATGATATAGATAGAAAGCGCTGAAATCTCCCTTATAGAACATGATATAGATAGATTTAAAGTGCTGATATCTCCCTCAGAGTACTAGTTTAGACAGATTTAAAACGCTGATATGCCCCTTTATAGCACAGGGTATAGACAGATTTAAAGCGCTGATATCTCATAGTACTAATTTAAACATATTTAAAGTTATGATATATCCTTATAATACTAGTTTAGACATATTTGAACTGCTGTTATCTCCCTTTATATAACACGGTATATACAGATCTAAAGTGCTGTTATCTCCCTTTATAGTTCACGATATAGACCGCTTTAAAGTGCTGATATCAATGTCAATGCAGTTGATCGAGTTCTTTATGTAAGATATGAACCTGAGTCACATTAAAAGTCATCCTCAAAAAATATCAACGATTTAATCTGTTCTTTACTGTACGAACAGACAGACAGACAAACCAGACAGACAGACTGTACGGTATAAATACCAGATATACTTAGCCTGCAAACTTAAGTTTCTCTAAGACTTTTCCGTGAAAGACTTAGCTTACACAATGCACCAGTTAAAAGATAGCACGTTCTTTCTCCAGGAGAAAGACAGTTAATAAACACTATCAAGTAATTAAAATAGCGTGTAAACGTTTGTTGTTTGTGAAGAAATTTTATTATTTTCAATCATTAATAATCCTAATTATTCTACATGTATATAAAAATATATGTATAACAAATAAACCAACGAAATAAAACATACAAAAAAATGACGAGTAAAAAATAATCAACATTTTTGGAAAATCATACGAAGCAATTAACATCGTTAATTACGTACAGGGATTGATATTTCTCAGCATATTTCAGGATCGTGTGTCACATGCCATGTTTAAAAACAGGACAATAAACGCTGGGCTTCCATGACCAGATTGGGCGTCACTTATTCACATTGTCACTCTCCTATAGTATATGGCTAGAATGCCATTTTTACAATACATCAACGTTTTAAATAGAACGAACTGTCATCTGTGGTTCTTTCTGTTTTCTTTTGTAAGACGTGCCATCTCTCTCATGCCTTCAAATAGTCCGTCCCCATTCACAGCGCATGCCCCCTGTACAAACCACTTCCGCCCGGTCAGTTTCGTTAGACACATCTTGTCAGCTACTTCGGCTGTGTTCATTGCATCTAAAATACAGAAAAAAATGGCATTAAACCGTTAGATTAACTTCATACTTTTTATAAATAATGATTTTGTTGTTGATGAATCCGAACAATATTCTATAGATAGATGTTTACGTGGCAGATCTTGTTTGTTTGCGAGCACAACAACGGGGACTCCCCTCATCTCATCATCGTTAAGGATACTGAAGAGTTCCTCTCGGGCCTCGTCGATCCTTTCTCTGTCATTGCTGTCTACGACATAAACCAGGCCTGTGAAGAGTATAAATAATGAAACAAATTATTCATCATCAATTCACGTCTAGCAGAGATGTTCGCTTATTACATAAAAGTTACTCTAAGTTGAGCGAGCTCGACAGTGCACGAACATGTAGTTACTGAAAGTTCAGGGGTAAAAAAAGATAAGCAACCTATTGATGAAAAACGTACTCCGCCGAAAACACGTTTGTTATTTGATACAAAGAAGTTCTTGGTCCTTAGCAAACCCACCTTCTGTGTTTTGAAAGTAGACTTTCCAAAGTGGTCGGATCTTGTCCTGACCGCCGACATCCCATACGGTAAAGGACACACCCTTACACGGGGATACCTCCTCCACGTTAAACCCGATCGTCGGGATGGTACTGACGTTCTCGTTCAGTTTGATCTTGTACAGGACCGTCGTTTTACCTGAAGTTTAATTTTTTTTAATCATAAAACTGTGGGTTTGATGCCACAAAACAATAAGAGAAATGTTTGAAGTATATTGATGCAATATGATGAAAGATATACCACAACAATATTTAGTCCACTCGTGTGTTATTGTCAGAATTTCATTTGAATAACTGTTTACTTGTAAAACAAGCGGTTTCTACTTAAGAAACCATACCCAGACTCGCTGATGTTGTGTCAATTATAGTCTTATAACTTTAACAGCAACGTTTTTATTACATCAACAAGCGGAAATAATAGTTTGCTTTAGGGTCAATATCTTTGAATACAATACATGTAACGTATTAAGATAAAAGGCTACAATATCTAACTCCTATAAATATAGACCTACATTTGTGTAGGTGCCTTCTAATCTATCGTAAACCCCTCATACTAAAATATATCTTCTGGCCCTACATTATTACTCAGTGACGAGTCGTAGCAGGAAAGATAGAGGGGGCCAGGAAGTGTCACAAGGACTAAACTTCTGACAGACAAGTTACCTGCTGCATCCAGTCCAAGCATCAGTATCCGGGATGGTGCTCCACTGGAGAAACTCTGTAACACATCGGCGAGCTTTGCTAATATTGAACCCATGCTATTCCATTAAAGTTATATCTATATCAAATGTACAACCTGTTATGGCGTCTTGCTATTCTGCTTTATTAATGTGTGTTGTGTTTTGGTTTTTATAGTCGTTCGGTTCCACGTAGTGCACAAATACTGTACATGTAACCTTCCAAACTGTCACTCTAGCCATATGATCAGTAACAGCGTGGAGAAAATTGCGTCACGTTTTACTTCCATTCGGAACACTGGCTGTAATACCCGTCTAAATTTAACCTTGCATTGGAAAATCCCATTTGTTGGTCTGGTCTATTTCGAGACAGTATTGTCACTTATGGGTCATGTTTATTTTTATTAATTAATTTCGTCTGTTTAATGTCTGCTACAAAGATCTTTTTCCAGAATACAAGAAATTAATACAATTACGAATAAAAATAGATAAAAAGACATGATCATTTGTGTCTATTTTCGTTTTCTTTGGGAATTCCCCTTTTCGTCACCATGCACGATGCTTTACTGGAACTTGAGGTCAAGCCTTCAGTCTGAGATATCAACAGTTTGTGCAGCTTATAAGATGAGAAATCGGTCTTTTTGTATTCTTCACGTACAAAGAATAATTTAATAACAATTTAAATGTACGGTTATGTGCATCATATTTATACACAAGCCAACACTCTTAGTAAATAAACAATTTCACCTCCGTGACGCTAGGGTGTGCACCAATCATTTAACGAGTGCCCTGCTGACTTTATATCGATCTAGTTAGACCTGAGCATTAGACCCAATGTTCCATAATCCATAATTAACATTTCTCTCCGTTGCTATTCATAAGTTCCAAATTATAATTTGATCGGAAAACGAAAATCTACCATACAGTGCGCATACCAGACGGAGACTCTGTAACTATACACCGTAGTTAAGGTACACAATCGGGATCCCCAGAGCAAGATTAAAAATAGATTAAGTAGTCTTGTAGGTATATTACGGTGCGTTCCGAATGGAAGTAAAGCGTGACGCAATTTTCTCCACGCTGGTATTGAACATATGGCTAGAGTGACGGTTCGTGAGTTATATGTACATTAACAGTGTTTGTGCAATACGTGGAACCAAACCAATATATAAACTCAAACATTAACCAAAGCCGCACAAAATTACAAATAGTCGGTGAAATCAGCGTGCGAGTGTCATATAAATCAGACAGGTATATCAGGGAAATAAGATGGGTTTGTTTTTAGCAAAGCTCGCTGATGTGATGCAGAGTTTCTCAAGTGGAACGCCCTCCCGGATACTGATGCTGGGCCTGGATGCAGCAGGTAACTTAACAGTATAGTACAAAAATAGGACATAATTTGTTTTCAGTCATTATCACAATATCTGAACATGTTTTAGCAAATAAAGTTTGATATTGTTACATCTTAAGTAATATTTACTTATTGTTCCTTGTAGGTAAAACATCGGTCCTGTACAAGATCAAACTAAACGAGAACGTGTGTACCATCCCGACGATCGGGTTTAACGTGGAGGAGGTATCCCCGTGTAAGGGTGTGTCCTTTACCGTATGGGATGTCGGCGGTCAGGAGAAAATCCGAGCACTCTGGAGACATTACTATCAAAACACAGAAGGTGAGAGGGATCTGTGATAAGCTCTTGGTTTGAAATTGTCATTAACTAAAACGTAATTTGAAATCATCTTTTTATGTGTTACCTTTTCATAGAGCATTTTGTATAGCCGAACTTTACTATTTGAAAGCACGACTTGAAATAAATGCCTTAACCAAGAGGTATTGTATTTAATATTGATGCCGTATTTTATCCCATTGTTTCAATCTACAGGTTTGGTGTTCGTCGTAGATAGCAATGACAGAGAAAGAATCGATGAAGCACGCGAGGAGCTGTTTGGTATACTAGACAATGATGAGATGAGAGGCGTTCCGGTGGTTGTGCTTGCAAACAAACAGGATCTCCCATGTAAGTTTTCGGCCGATATCGTCATGATATGATCAGGTCGACATATTTTTTAAGTATATGAAGATATGATTTTGTTCCTATTTTGATTTTACTTACATCACGTACACTGTGTTATGTACACAAACAGATATTACAGCAATTAGGAATAAAACAAAACATGCGTTTATCAATGTAGCATTTTTTCATCAACCCGTCGTTGTTTATTGACTAATATATTTATCTTTATTCTGTGTTGTAGACGCCATGAAAACTTCGGAAATTGCCGAGAAGATGTGTCTGACGAAACTGAGCGGACGGAAGTGGTTTGTACAGGGTACATGCGCAACGACAGGTGAAGGATTATACGAAGGCATGAAAGAAATGGCAAGGCTCTCAAAAGAAAACAAGCAGAACTACAGATGAAAGAGCGATGATAATATCCAGATACTGTTTCTGGATATAAAGTTCTTCGTACGAGAGCGCATTCTTACACCAGGGTATCTGTTGTTCACCCCTGTCATGTGACCGCACAACATGTGCATTTACATGTGTCCAACATAATAGTGTCGGTCGTGAAGAATTCATTGCATAACTCTTGATTTGATAAAGTGAATAATGAACATTTTAGTACACATTTTGTGTTCTATACCCTTGGTGATGAAATGCGAGACATGTCACGAGTAATACGTAATGTACCGGAAGTGTTAGATTCCGCGGACATGTGTGCACTGCCTACCTGGGATTTGATGGAGGTGTATTAAAGGAGCTGTGGTATCGTGTTTGTTTTACAGTTAATTGTTGATATATATGTTATGTACCTATTGTTTAGATCGTTTCTTTTGATAAATGCATTAACGAATTACTTTGTTTTAATTGTATGTTTATAGCTACAGATATTGTAGTTATATTATAGATCATTAATACAGAATGGGACATGTTCTCAAGGAACCGTCTTATGATAAACCTTATGTGATATAATTAAGTAACGGGTATTGTTAAAATCATAACTTTACGTACGGATCAATAAGTAAGACGTTCGAACTTCTTGCGGAGAAAATGTTTTCTCCAGTTGCAGTTTCCTTAGTTCAGATATCTCTTGTTTACATGTTCTGTCACGGAAATGACATTAAATACCTATAGAAATTCGTCTCCAAGATAATTATACTGGTCGATGGTTGAGAATTGCTATGTACGTGGAGGGATTTTTTTTTCAAGAGAAAGGTGCAGGGTGTGTTGGTAAATTTTGATTTTTGTTTTGTTGAGATTCCTTGTACTGTAAGCAAACTATAAAAATAGGTACGTCACGGGACATAAGACTTATCTCTGGAAACATTGAGCCACACCGCGTAAATTGAGTAATATTTACAAATAAAAGAGTAAATAATGAATTGAGTTGTTCTTTTAAATGTACTTTCATTCTAGTATCTATGACAACAATTTCATTTTTAATCGACTGAAAAAGGAAGATCCTTCAAACAACGCACAGAAAATTAATAAATGACAGTATAGAGTGCTCGGCAGGATTTAAACCCGAGTCGCAAGCGTTATCAAGAAGTTTGTGTACAATTCGTGTACACACAACGTGTACAATTATATTCATATCAGTACACAGAAAAGTAAGCGAAAACATGCTAAAACACACACTTCACATTCATTTCGTGAGACGGCCATTCGTTGTACTCTAGCTCTAACCTACGTTCTGAGGTTCGCTGAAAATTAATCTTAAAATCGAGCACAGAATCCGGATAGGATGATATATACCAATACTTACATGTTTAAGATGACAGTACCATTGGGACCAGTTAGCGGTCGCTGTATAAAACATGATATGTTGATAAAAATGTTACCTACCTTGTATAATGTTGTGATGAGATATTGTAGTATTAGTGTTAACCATGCAAACATCGAAAATTCACGGAGAAATTCGAAATAAACTATAACGACTTCATACGTCTTAATGAGGAAGACAAATCATTATAGAGATAAAAATCTGATTATTTACAATTATTCTGATATCATGATTGATAATCTAAAACCCAAATTCTGTAAGTAGGTGTGACAAAACAAAATTCAATGGAGATTTTTCCCATTTCATTAACGATACCGTCTGACGTAATTTCAAAATTATGAGAGACTCCCCCATACGTAACATTTCATTGTCAGAGACTCCCCTCTACGTAACATTTCATTGTTAGAGACTAACCTCTACGTAACATTTCATTGTTAGAGACTCCCCTCTACGTAACATTTCATTATAAGGGACTCCCCCTCTACGTAACATTTCATTGTGAGAGACTCCCCTCTACGTAACATTTCATTGTTAGAGACTCCCCTCTACGTAACAATTCATTGCGAGAAACTCCCTCATTCGTAACAATTCATTGTGAGAGACTTCCCATACATAACAATTCATTGTGAGAGACTCCCCATACGTAACAATTCATTGTGAGAGACTCCCCATACGTAACAATTCATTGTGAGAGACTCCCCATACGTAACATTTCATAGTGAGAGACTCCCCTCTACGTAACATTTCATTGTGAGAACCGCCCTCATATGTAACAATTCATTGTGAGAGACTCCCCATACGTAACAATTCATTGTGAGAGACTCCCTATACGTAACAATTCATTGTGAAACTCCCCATACGTAACAATTCATTGTGAAACACTCCCCCCCCCCTACGTAACATTTCATTGTGAGAGACTCCCCTCTACGTAACATTTCATTGTGAGAACCGCCCTCATACGTAACAATTCATTGTGAGAGACTTCCCATACATAACAATTCATTGTGAGAGACTCCCCATACGTAACATTTCATAGTGAGAGACTCCCCTCTACGTAACATTTCATTGTGAGAACCGCCCTCATACGTAACAATTCATTGTGAGAGACTCCCCATACGTAACAATTCATTGTGAGAAACTCCCTATACGTAACAATTCATTGTGAAACTCCCCATACGTAACAATTCATTGTGAAACACTCCCCCCCCCTACGTAACATTTCATTGTGAGAGACTGCCCTCTACATAACATTTCATTGTGAGCGACTCCCCATACGTAACATTTCATTGTGAGAGACTCCCCATACGTAACAATTCATTGTGAAACTCCCCATACGTAACAATTCATTGTGAGAGACTCCCCCCCCCCCCTACGTAACATTTCATTGTGAGAGACTGCCCTCTACATAACATTTCATTGTGAGAGACTCCCCATACGTAACAATTCATTGTGAGCGACTCCCCATACGTAACAATTCATTGTGAGAGACTCCCCATTCGTAACAATTCATAGTGAGAGACTCCCTATACGTAACAATTCATTGTGAGCGACTCCCCATACGTAACAATTCATTGTGAGAGACTCCCCATACGTAACAATTCATAGTGAGAGACTCCCCTCTACGTAACAATTCATTGTGAGAACCGCTCTCATACGTAACAATTCATTGTGAGAACCTCCCCATACGTAACATTTCATTGTGAAACTCCCCATACGTAACATTTCATTGTGAGAGACTGCCCTCTACATAACATTTCATTGTGAGCGACTCCCCTCTACGTAACATTTCATTGTTAGAGACTAACCTCTACGTAACATTTCATTGTTAGAGACTCCCCTCTACGTAACATTTCGTTGTGAGAGACTCCCCCCTACGTAATATTTCATTGTGAGAGACTCCCCCCTACGTAATATTTCATTGTGAGAGTTTCATATGGGAATTTTCTTCCTACTTTTGTTTGATCTTTTTTTTTATTTTATTTTTTTTTTTTGCCATTGCTGCCATGATTACCAGAAGTGATTTAGAAACACTTTGATTATTTGCAAATATTACTGCTTTAATGCGACATCACCTGCTCAAGTCTACTGTTACGTGGTGTACATATTTAGGATTAATTACGAGCCGAACTGCATGTATGAAAATAACTGATCAGCACACTGCACAATCCTTTGGAAAGAGATTCCCCACCCACCGACATGCGTTTCCCTCGTGGTAATGGTTACACCCGGTGATATTTATAATATAAATTGTGTATGTAAGATGATGCTTTCTCATATACCATGGTAGAAATCTATGGTATATAACTGCATCAAGACTGATAAAGAAGGAGGATTCACTCTATATATCATGTACAGTTGTATTCTGACAGTCAGATGTAACCCTAACCTACACTGTTGCTAAGGTACACAAATGGGAATACCCAGGGCAAGATTAAAAATAGACTCTATCGCCTTGTATGTATATTACGGTGTGTTCCGAATGGAAGTAAAACGTGACGCAATTTTCTCCACGCTGGTATTGAACATATGGCTAGAGTGACGGTTCGTGAGTTATATGTACATTAACAGTGTTAATGCAATGCCTATGACCTAACCATTATCAAGAATAAAACATTACAGCCGAACAAAACTACAAAAAATCTGTGAAATCATCACACCAGAGCCACTTTATCAGAGAAATACTTTTTTTAACGAAATAAGATGGGTTTGTTATTAGCAAAGCTCGCCGATGTGATGCAGAGTTTCTCAAGTGGAACGCCCTCCCGGATACTGATGCTGGGCCTGGATGCAGCAGGTAACTTAACAGTATAGTACCAAAGTAGGACATAATTTGTTTTCAGTCATTATCACAATATCTGAACATGTTTTAGCAAATAAAGTTTGATATTGTTACATCTTAAGTAATATTTACTTATTGTTCCTTGTAGGTAAAACATCGGTCCTGTACAAGATCAAACTAAACGAGAACGTGTGTACCATCCCGACGATCGGGTTTAACGTGGAGGAGGTATCCCCGTGTAAGGGTGTGTCCTTTACCGTATGGGATGTCGGCGGTCAGGAGAAAATCCGAGCACTCTGGAGATACTATTTTCAAAACACGGAAGGTGAGAGGGATCTTTGATAAAATGCCAAATTCGATGCAGTTTTTATTTTCTTTCACAAAACTGAAAATCAAGTTGTTTAATCATAAGCTTCAAAATTTATCTGTGCGCGTTGTATAGCAGAACTTTTTAAACACGTGATAATACATTGCCTTAACCAAGATGTGTTGTATTTTATCCCATTGTTTCAATCTACAGGTTTGGTGTTCGTCGTAGATAGCAATGACAGAGAAAGAATCGATGAAGCACGCGAGGAGCTGTTTGGAATACTAGACAATGATGAGATGAGAGGCGTTCCGGTGGTTGTGCTTGCAAACAAACAGGATCTCCCATGTAAGTTTTCGGCCGATATCGTCATGATATGATCAGGTCGACATATTTTTTAAGTATATGAAGATACGATTTTGTTCCTATTTTGATTTTACTTACATCACGTACACTGTGTTATGTACACAAACAGATATTACAGCAATTAGGAATAAAACAAAACATGCGTTTATCAATGTAGCATTTTTTCATCAACCCGTCGTTGTTTATTGACTGATATATTTATCTTTATTCTGTGTTGTAGACGCCATGAAAACTTCGGAAATTGCCGAGAAGATGTGTCTGACGAAACTGAGCGGACGGAAGTGGTTTGTACAGGGTACATGCGCAACGACAGGTGAAGGATTATACGAAGGCATGAAAGAAATGGCAAGGCTCTCAAAAGAAAACAAGCAGAACTACAGATGAAAGAGCGATGATAATATCCAGATACTGTTTCTGGATATAAAGTTCTTCGTACGAGAGCGCATTCTTACACCAGGGTATCCGTTGTTCACCCCTGTCATGTGACCGCACAACATGTGCATTTACATGTGTCCAACATAATAGTGTCGTGAAGAATTCATTGCATAACTCTTGATTTGATAAAGTGAATAATGAACATTTTGGTACACATTTTGTGTTCTATACCCTTGGTGATGAAATGCGAGACATGTCACGAGTAATACGCAATGTACCGGAAGTGTTAGATTCCGCGGACATGTGTGCACTGCCTACCTGGGATTTGATGGAGGTGTATTAAAGGAGCTGTGATATCGTGTTTGTTTTACAGTTAATTGTTGATATATATGTTATGTACCTATTGTTTAGGTCGTTTCTTTTGATAAATGCATAAACGAATTACTTTGTTTTAATTGTATGTTATACTTCTCCAAGGCATTTATACCTACTACTTCAGTCGCGTGTGTTTAATTCTGCTCTGTTCAATAGCCGATCGTAGATGTAAAAAAAGGTAGTTCCCTTCATCTCGATTCTGATCTTTTACCAAGTATTAAACACCGATGGTACTTGTGATTAAGTAAGGCATTGCTTTTATTACAATCTGATGACCATTTCATGCTGTTTTGCAACCAAGTAAACATGTATATTGAAATCTAATGCTTTCGAGATTACATATCCTTTTTGATTGTTATCTCTAATGATATGATGTGAAAGTGTAGGAGTGCAGACTAGTCATTACAACATCTCGATGTCTACCCTGTTGTGCAATTTGAAACCTTATTTTACATACTTTCCAACCGTAAGAAAACGTTCAACACTGGATTTTGTGTACTGCTGTATTTTGTAACAAAATGAAGTCCGCTATGCGTCACCTTGAGACAGTGTAACCAGCGTATAACTTCATTTTTTATAAATGCAGTTGTGTTACCTACATAACAAATTAATATCTGCTTTAAAAAGAAAATTTTAATTGGAAGCCGGGTACCTGTGTTCGTGACACTAATAACATTATTTTTGTGTCGTGTCATTGCTTATGTAACGTCATTTTCATTAAGTGTTGAGGTAAGTCGTGGCCACTGACGTCATAAAATGGTAAATTTGTTGACGTATGGGGCGGTTTGATATATAATGCCGTAAGTTATGTTAAAGGACGTATCAAATGACTCGAATAAAGAAAAAATCTTAATGTACTGTAAATATATACAGATATCGATAAATATCTACTTTTACATTATTATAAACTATGTAATGTGAGATGGATTAGAGTAAGACTTTGTCATGATGGATAGATAATACTCTTCAGTAGAAAATACAAATAATAAAATAAAATAAATAATCCCTGGACAGTGACAGGTGTCCGTGTGGCATTGACCGAGTATTCAAATATAGAACCATTATCATCCATTTCAAACTGCAGTTTTAGAAAAATGAATAACACAAACCTTTGCCTTTCGAGTTAGCTCTTCAGGTACCTTCCACGTTTTTAGTTAATCATTTACCATGTAAATCATAGCTACTCTGCAACAATTTAGTAATAATATTTGGTATGGAATGATGTTATGATATGTGATGTGGGTTTAATCTGACTCTTGTGATAATTCTGATATAAAGAGAGTTATGACGGTTACCGTCCACTAACAGGGAGTACCTGCGAAACCAGACAAAAATACCAACAGGTTGACGGAATCATAACTCAAATTCATCACCATGTTGGATTCTTGGCCTCCAGAAATGGAAAAATATTACAATATGGAAATCGAAATCATCACGTTTGTCATATATCTTGGTACAAAGATGTCCCTTGTCCTTGTTAATTTCGTTGTAGGGGAATAAAAACTAGGTACGCGGCTGATGTTGGAAAGTCTGTCGCGTTAATGATTTCTAATTGAGGTAGATATACAATAAACTCTATGTTATTTAAAAACCAAGACATCATCTATATGTGTGAAAGTAAGACTAAAGGACTTAGCAAGGTTTTTGTGATTAGTTGTGATAAGCTCTTCGATAAATTCGACTTCATATGAAAACCAAAACAAGTCAGTCAAAAGTACAAGCTCAAAGAATTACTCAAAAATCCTAATGGGAACCCTTTTATGTGGAATTGTTAATGAAATCGATTGTGCAATGAAGTTAGAGGCAAGATGTGTACTAGATATCCAGAAGGCGACTGCGGAAAAACAAGGTCGATCAGACTAAATGGACTACTACTGGACTACATCTCACTGGTGCTTTTCTCTCTGTAGGGAAAACATATGGAGTATATATTAGTGAGTTTGACATCTTTGTTTTGGTGTTCGTCTTCTGACACGGTGACGTTGAAAAAATCAAAGCTACAGGTGTGCCTTCTTATCATTGGTTTACATCCAGCCTTTTTAGATACATCAATGGTTTACACTGCAAATCCAACACAGTGGAATTATGTATTTTCTATTAACAATACAAACTGGAAAAGAAAATGACAAGACATTTTAGTTTATCGCATCTGAATTGGTTTAATGTACTTGTATCATGTAAAAATCACAAAGAAAAAAAACCTGTTGTTAACCTGTTGTCGTGTGCAAGTCTTTCAAATGTCGGTACATGATGTACTCTAGTGTTACTTTAGGTACTTTTCTATCGGGGCACACATTAAAGCAAGTCTATTTTGATTAATTAAAATTTCAATAAAGTCAAAGGTTGTATTCCTTAACCTTTAACTGTTCGCCTTTGTGACATTATTTAAAACCTTTGTTGGGCAAAAAGAAAATCGTTCGGTACATGTTCGAAGTCAACTGCGTTTGAAAGATGACGTATTTATAACCGATTTGACTGAAACAACAAGAAGAATTCACTTGGTAAAATAGATAAGTTTTTAGTGTAAAATATTACCCTCGAAAATACAATGATATAATTTATCTCTGTGAATGTATCAATATTTGATATCAGTTACCTCGTAAACCGTTGATGTTAAAAAGTATGGAGTCTTGAGTCATTGAGACAAGTGAATCACACAGTCCAATAGAAATTAGGAATTAAAAATGCACCATACAGCCGTTTCGTACTTCTGGGATTCTCGCGTGATGCTAATTACTTAATCATAGGGGGAGAACGAGGACAATCAAATTTGGTAGAAGTAAACATCAAAACCTAGATGAAATTATGATTTCAAAGAATCTCGCATTCATGTTCATATTTTAAAAAACGTGTAACTATTCAAAAGAATTAAAGGTGGCTGACCAATTTTCACTGGTGGAGGAGTGCAAAGAGCTCAAACGATTTAGTGAGATGCAGATAAACAACAGGCTAATGGTATTTGGACAGTTCTATGACAGTGATAGGTATTAGGTTTGTTGGCCTTCTGTGAACGCCATGGGGTCAATGTGTCAAAAGTTTGTAGCAATGACTACCTATTTGTGTGTGTGCATAAACATCTATTTGGTTTAAATGTTCAGCCTTATGAAAATATTCCCTATAATATTCTACTGTAAATTCAGCTCTCAGAGGGTCTTTACGATATTAACGACTGTCTTTTCGCGGCGAAAACACGAAATAACGAAATCAGCTATGTACACAAAGTCTCCATAAGCTAGCGAATAATAGTCTCCCCTGTCCTACACAGGTTTTCCTAAGCTAACGAAGTAAAACCGCCCTCTAACACGTGTTTGGAAAGAGAATATCAAAGTGTCTATTAGTGTCAGAAATCGGATTGTATTATATGAAAGTCTAAAGATAACACATGCTACATGAACTATGCAAATATACAGAGAGTTACTCAATCTCTTGGACATATATGAACAAATTGTAATTTAGTTTCGAGAAGATACAAATGTATGTACTTTTCTACAATTTTTTCATGTTCTATACAAAAATATTGACCAAGACTTAATTAATTTGATGGGTTTTTTCTTAACAGAACGACAACATCTGCTTCAGTATTTCACATTTCCTGAATGAGATGAAAAAACAACACAAGGAACATCTGCTTTGTTTTAAAAGGGTTTTAAAACGCGCGATAACTTTGTTGTTATGATAAAAATTTATGTCCCTGGACAAACCTAGACAACTTCCTCACCTGTACTTCACTTCTTCCTCTCACCATTATCCTTTGATGTCACTACAATCCTAACCATGCATGTTTTGTAACTGTCACAGTTTATATATATATATATTGTTACATACCTACAGAGCTACGGTAGTCACATATACCGTTTGGTCATTAGTGCTGATAGCACATCGCTGTGATAAGGCTGTGTGAATTGTAAGCGTGTGGAGAGAGATAGAAATAGCACCACGGGGTCTTGTTTAATAGTGATTTCCATATATAGAAGGTCTGTGTACACCTGAGTACGTACGACCATTATAGCAGTACGGCTTCACCCGTCGATTTATTACTGATAGACTAATGCCGCTGGTGCACCAGCCAACATGATGTACGAAATGACAGATACCGACCACATCCTCACCAAGGCGAGGTACGGTAACCCTCGGAGACCCTTACTTATCTGTGGACTGGTAGCCTTGGTATTGGGACTCGTCTTTGGCCTGATCTTAGGTCGCTTTGGATTATGTCCGGATAACGAACCCGTACCAGCTCCACAGACAGATGGAGTGTTTCTACCCGGTGTTTCAAAACAGATTGTTCAAGATGGCGACCCATCGATTAGTGATTTACTCATCAATAGCATCAGTAGTGAAAACATCAGGCAATACCTACGGTAAGTTTAGAATCTAGAACGTTTGTTAGCCCTACAGGTCAATAAGCAAGGTCTATACATGTGTACAGTTTTACGATCAATGAATGGTAACTTGGCATATCAATAATTTACTAGAATGATAATGAAGCACTACTCAAGAGATGTTTTTTCTTACATACAGCCTGTTTACATTCTGTATGGTAATTTAATTCTGGCACCAACAAATGCATTAAATTACTTTTTTGTGATCAACCGGACCGTAACAGAACTCTTTTTTGAGATTGCAATCATTTTTAAACACAACATAAGCTGTACCTGTATATCTGTTTACCAGGTAAATAAATACCTTGCAAAATAATCTTGGTCCTGTATTACTCGGAAAAGGCCATACCCTCATTTATAAACCATATAAGATAGTTGAATGAATAGACATACACCACTATGGGACATGTATACAATTAACCCGGTGTTAAATACTTGTATTTATAGGACATTGGAAGTTGTAGGTTTGGCTGTTGTAAAACGAGCGGATAGGTGTGGTTTGCATAATGTGTGTTACTTAGTCTTAGTATTTCTCAATACTCAATAGAATTATCTTACTTGGGAACAGACCAGAACAACGTTGAAATTGTTGACATTGTAAACCGAGTCAAGATGTCAACTACGCCTTCACAAAGTATAGTTCACAAACAAAAAGGCTTTAAAACACGATGTCAAGCGCTCACTTTAGCTTACAAGTACAACTACAGATAACAAAGTATGTGAAAAAAAGGCAAAAGTCTCTGATATAACGCTGTAATTCTGGACTTCTGTGCATCATAGAGCAATACAGAAAACGTCACGCTAAAGAACACTACCGTGAACAAGACAAAATCCGACTGAAAATATCTAATTGGTATCAACATAGCAAAATAAAGATGAACGAAGGATATAGAAAGAGAATAAGTTGTATTTGTAATTATTTATATATATAAATATATTTAGAAATCACTTTTTCGTTCGATTTCATGTACACTTGAATAGAGTATTTGATACACGATTTGTTGTGCAGGGACCTGTCTGAGCTACCCCACCTGGCGGGTACGAAGGCTGACTACCGCCAGGCTAAAGACCTACACGACTTCTGGAGACAAGAGGGACTGGACGAGGTGTATATCACGCCGTATGACGTCCTACTGTCTTACCCCAATGTCACTGATGACGACATGATGAACAGGATAGAACTGATCAATGCCACTGGCGGGATAGTGTACCAGTCTCCTCTAAGGGAAGCCATTCTACATCCGAGTGAGAACAAAAGCGGTGTGGTGCCACCCTTCAATGCCTACTCTCTTCCAGGGGATATCACCTCGGTAAGTTGCTGTCGTTTAAAATGAGGACGAATATTGCCAAGTGTAATTAGAGATCTTAACATATCCAAATCAGCGTTGTTTACGTAAAAGGTTTCTACTTGTCCTGTCTCTGGTTGCCGAGACATCAGTAGAAGAATCGTCTGTTATTTATATAATTTCAGCCGACTGGATCGGTAACGATATAATTACTGATATGTATTTATTCTCTTTCATTTTTATGTTCACAGGAACGACTTTTCTACGTAAACTACGGCAGAGTAGAGGACTACAATGTTTTAATTACCAAGCACTCTGTAAACATAAATGGAAGCATCGTCATAGCACGTTACGGCAAGATATTCCGGGGGGACAAGGTGTGTATGATATTCCGGGGGACAAGGTGTGTATGATATTCCGGGGGACAAGGTGTGTATGATATTCCGGGGGAACAAGGCGTGTATGATATTCCGGGGGGATAAAGTGTTATGATATTGTCCAACAGTCTTCATCACTTCTGATGTTAGACAAGGTGTGTATGGCACTGTTCAACAGTCTTCATCACTTATGGTGTTAGACAAGGTGAATATGATATTCCGGGGGACAAGGTGTGTATGATATTGTCCAACAGTCTTCATCACTTCTGGTGTTAGACAAGGTGTGTATGGCACTGTCCAACAATCTTCATCACTTCTGATGTTAGACAAGGTGTGTTTGGCACTGTCCAACAGTCTTCATCACTTCTGGTGTTAGACAAGGTGTGTATGATATTGTCCAACAGTCTTCATCACTTCTGGTGTTAGACAAGGTGTGTATGATATTGTCCAACAATCTTCATCACTTCTGATGTTAGACAAGGTGTGTATGGCACTGCCCAACAGTCTTCATCACTTCTGATGTTAGACAAGGTGTGTATGGCACTGTTCAACAGTCTTCATCACTTCTGATGTTAGACAAGGTGTGCATGGCACTGTTCAACAGTCTTCATCACTTCTGATGTTAGACAAGGTGTGTATGATATTCCGGGGGGACAAGGTGTGTATGATATTGTCCAACAGTCTTCATCACTTCTGGTGTTAGACAAGGTGTGTATGGCACTGTCCAACAATCTTCATCACTTCTGATGTTAGACAAGGTGTGTATGGCACTGTCCAACAGTCTTCATCACTTCTGATGTTAGACAAGGTGTGTATGGCACTGTTCAACAGTCTTCATCACTTCTGATGTTAGACAAGGTGTGCACCCTAGATTCCTCAGTCTTCGTGTCTTTGAGACTTTTGAACTGTCTTTATCACTTCTGCTGTTAGACAAGGTGTGTATGATATGTCCAACAGTCTTCATCACTTCTGGTGTTAGACAAGGTGTGTATGGCACTGTTCAACAGTCTTCATCACTTCTGATGTTAGACAAGGTGTGCATGGCACTGTTCAACAGTCTTCATCACTTCTGATGTTAGACAAGATGTGTATGATATTCCGGGGGGACAAGGTGTGTATGATATTGTCCAACAGTCTTCATCACTTCTGGAATTAGACAAGGTGTGTATGGCACTGTCCAACAGTCTTCATCACTTCTGATGTTAGACAAGGTGTGTATGGCACTGTCCAACAGTCTTCATCACTTCTGATGTTAGACAATGTGTGTATGATATTGTCCAACAATCTTCATCACTTCTGATGTTAGACAAGGTGTGTATGGCACTGTCCAACAGTCTTCATCACTTCTGATGTTAGACAAAGTGTGTGTGGCACTGTTCAACAGTCTTCATCACTTCTGATGTTAGACAAAGTGTGTATGGCACTGTTCAACAGTCTTCATCACTTCTGATGTTAGACAAGGTGTGTATGGCACTGTTCAACAGTCTTCATCACTTCTGATGTTAGACAAGGTGTGTTTGATATTGTCCAGCAGTCTTCATCACTTCTGATTCACAATTAATTGCAAACTGGTGATGAAATAACAGGGCATGTTGCCTTTGCTTTCTTTTAGGTAGATATCTTTATGGAGACGGTATTTAACAAAATGTTTACAATCACAGTCAATCTAGTGGATATCCAGTATAAGGTATATGTTCATTGTAGGTGAAACTTGCAGCAGATCATGGCGCCGTAGGTATAATCATCTTCTCTGACCCAGCTGACTACACATTAGATGGCGACACTTCACGTGTCTATCCGGACGACTGGTGGCTCCCTCCGACGGGAGCACAACGGGGTACAACCTATCTTGGGATTGGGGACCCGTTGACTCCTGGCTACCCGGCAGTAGGTTCGTTAAAAAAGCAAACTGTTACCAGATAACTGAAGATGTTCACTCTAACCATTATAATTTCGTAACGAACTGATTGCGGTAAAGAATACTGTAAGTATGGCATTGGTGTATGTATTAATATTTATCTAGATTATCAATCGTGAAACCAATATTAGTATACCGCAAAACTCGTACTTGGAAACAAAGTGAGAAAGGACGCAGTTCAACCCTCAGTTTAACAATTACGCCTACAGAGACAGCTTTCCGACTGGAAGCGAACAGTTCCGAGGCCCAGCTTCCGACGATTCTAGCCCATCCTATCGGATATGGAATTGCGCAGAAGATCCTTGAGTAAGTGAATTTGTGTTTTTACTAAAGGTTAAGTATCGATAAGAATGTAGAAAACAGCAAAACTCAATGTATACATCATATCACCAGTGTATGTTTCTCTGTTTAGTGCGTTCATTGGTAGTACCCTCGCCAAGGCCATGACAAGTTAATGATGTTCTAGATGTACGGGTATGTTACATAAATAGATCATCCCAGAGAATTCCATTTTGTATAATTTAGACAGATGTCTGGCGATGAGGTAACAGAGGACTGGAAAGGCAAACTTAACCTTACCTACAGATATGGTGGCAAAATGAAGGAGAATGGATGGTATGTAACAACTTGAGAGTTACATAAGCAACATCAAGCTTTCTTTTAAGGCAATGGCAATTAAAATTTATCTGTTTGTTCGATATTTAAAATCATACTGTGTAATAAATCCTTTACTATAATGTGTTTGTACTGTTATAATTTGATATTGCAGGACGATTCGGATGTTTATTTCTACCCAGAACGAGATGCGCAGAACCTACAACGTATTTGGTATCATCCGGGGAGCTATTGAACCAGGTAATGATGTGTTCTTGCATCACCAATGCATATTTATGACCCATCAGATGACAGACTCGGTATTATCATGCTTGTAACATGATTCCAAGGTAATGAAGCTTACTGACAAAATGCAAAATTATCCGTACGAACTATTTTACGAATTACTGTATCATAATGATGCATAATTCATATATATGGAGTAAAAACATCCTCTGTATGTGTCTAAAAAATTAAGTTTCCAGTTACAATATTTAAAGGTTAAAACATGAACCTGTGCATTTTGCCTGATAAAACACATGTGGTACTGTTTTAATCTCAAAAGGAGGGGAAATAGAGCGATGTATCAATATCATACGGAAAAACATATTCACTTTGTATTATACATATTTGCTACATATTATAAATAATAAATTTATCTCAGACAGGTACGTGTTAATGGGAAACCATAGAGATGCGTGGGTGTTTGGCGCCATTGATCCATCAGGTGGTACGGCCGTTATGAAAGAAATCTCCAGAGTAATGGGCAACTTGGTAAAGCAAGGTAAACCAGTTTGAAGTGATTTTTCATATCAATGCATACGAATTGTGCAAATATTACCCAAACTGGTCAAACTAACGATGTCAACACAAAGGTTAAAAACTGGAAACAGGGAAACCTCTACCGGTCACGTGATCCCGAGATTCTGATCACGTGATTTCATTATGACAGTAACATGGAATAATGGATCAACAGTCGTATTACACATATCGTTATCTTTTTTTCTAGCGATTAGTTATCTCCTTGGTGACAAAGAACCTATTTAAGAATTTAAGCATCGTATATCTGTCTAACGACAATCAACACACCTAGAAACATAACACATTTTTGTCGTTAATCATTACACTCAAGTTCACAAGTGCATTAGACCGGGAACTGTCAAATATTTGAGGCTTGGTCGTTTTGACTATAAAGCTGAACACTACACGAACTACTTCATAACAAGAGAGTGTGAGCAAAGTGATTGTAACAAATTTCAGTATTCTGTAAGATACAATCTAGTAGCCAAGTGTTTGGTGGTAAAGCCGAAGTCTGCGTGGTGTGGAGGTTTATTTAATACGACAATCGTAGAAGTATTAATCCCAACAAAGCTGGTTGTGGACCACTGTAGCTGATCGACGGCTGGACAGGTGTAGGTGTCCCGACTATGTACTGCTACCACTTGTGATTTGGGATTCCTTGAACAAAACGTAATACGAAAGCAGCTATGTCAAGTAGCGCAGTTATAGTTTAAATTTTTCGTAGAATGAAAAACAACATTAATACTGTTATTGATTTCTAATTGACTGTGCAAATCAATCAACTCCAGCATCACATCCCTCGATAAAGCACTTATATATCAAGCAGTGCATACCATCAAGATATCAATTTGTACTGAAGGCCCATAGAACGACGAAATTGCTGAATGATGCAGTTTCAGTCATTTGTCCGAATTATGATTTCCCTATAAACATTGTTAAATCACTTGTGCCCACTAAAGTTTACATCAGCAGTTGTGATGGGACATGAATGTATATATATCCTGACAGCGTACCTCTGTTTTCGACATGATTTCGGTATATAACTTACCATCGATATTTCTATTCTTTGTAGGGAAATGGCGGCCTCGTCGTACTATCATATTCTGTAGCTGGGGTGCGGAGGAGTATGGACTTATCGGCTCCAGTGAGTGGGTTGAGGTAATTATATAAGGCAGTGCCGACTCTACTTATCAGAGGTGTGGAGGTGTGATAATTGAATCGGACTAAAACTTAACAATTAATTTCCAAAGCGATCTGGGTGAAAGGAATATACAGGTTAAATGAAATATACGATGAGATCTTAAATTTATCTTGATTTTCATTTTGTTAATTTGGGGCATATAACAGTGACATAACATTATCAGTTTAATCAAGTACATCAGGGTCTTTATATGACCTTCTGTTTATAGCAATACGTGAAGAGCCTGGCTGCCCGATCCCTGGCTTACGTTAACGTGGACATCGCCGTGGAAGGTCTGTATTGCATCCTACATTTGATAGATACCGTATAGACTAGAACAATATACATGTATATATATATATATAAATCCATGGAAACGTTCATGTACAACTGTTGTGTCTTAAACAATACACAAAGATTTCCCGGCAACAATAGCAACGTTGTATGAAGCATATTTACATTTTATGGAACTAATTCTGCTTTTAACGGAATGAGAATTGTAGGGACTCTGACATTATCAGAAATTCCCCATTGTAGGGACTCTGACATTATCAGAAAATGCCAATTGTAGGGACTCTGACATTATCAGAAAATGCCAATTGTAGGGACTCTGACATCATCAGAAATTCCCAATTGTAGGGACTCTGACATTATCAGAAAATGTCAACTGTAGGGACTCTGACATCATCAGAAATTCCCCATGGTAGGGGCTCTGACATTATCAGAAATTCCCAATTGTAGGGACTCTGACATTATCAGAAATTCCCAATTGTAGGGACTCTGACATCATCAGAAATTCCCAATTGTAGGGACTCTGACATTATCAGAAAATGCCAATTGTAGGGACTCTGACATTATCAGAAATTCCAAATTGTAGGGACTCTGACATTATCAGAAATTCCCAATTGTAGGGACTCTGACATTATCAGAAAATGCCAATTGTAGGGACTCTGACATCATCAGAAATTCCCCATGGTAGGGGCTCTGACATTATCAGAAATTGTCAATTGTAGGGACTCTGACATCATCAGAAAATGCCAATTGTAGGGACTCTGACATCATCAGAAATTCCCCATGGTAGGGACTCTGACATTATCAGAAATTGTCAATTGTAGGGACTCTGACATCATCAGAAATTCCCCATGGTAGGGGCTCTGACATTATCAGAAATCGCCAATGGTAGGGGCTCTGACGTTATCAGAAATTCCAATTATAGGGGTTTATGAATATACTTTGTTATTAATGGTTGACATGATTTTAAAATGTTCGAGAACTGTAAATTGTTCGTAGAATATGGGCATTTTCCAATTTTTTTCAGTTCATGAATATAAGAAATGGGTACAAAGAAACAAATAAAAACCAAAAATACAAATTAAAGAAACATAACCATGTTAAACAGTACACTGGTATTTGTGTATATGTCAGTAATTATTCGAGAAAAACCATTGAGAAGCCGAATCATAGATCGTCTCGTAAATTTGACGTTTGTGTGTGTTGTATGTACCAGGAAACTATACGGTAGCCATATATGGAACTCCACTTATGTATCACAGTCTGTACGACGCTACTAGAAAGGTACTGCTTTGTATATCATCACTGGTATATTGCTTACTAACCTACAATCATTTATGTGTGTACTGTGAAGATGAAGTTCTATGCAATAAAACATAACACTAAATGTAAAGTCAGGGTACTTATACAGAAATGGAGTCCATCATTTTCTTTAGCCAAATCTCGATATTATTTTCGGTATAATGAAAAGAATTTTCTGGTCAATTATTTCATGAATAACATTTTTTTTTAATGCTAGAACAGACTTCTTTCTAACGAGACGAGACTTTGATACTGTCCTGTAGAGTCTTGCGATAATGTCATATTTCCAGGTGGAAAATCCAAATCCAGAGGACATTGCCAAAGGGATGAAGACAGTGTATGATAAATGGGTCTACACCAGTGCAACAAATAGCTCTTCCAGACCAAAGTACGTATGTCGTCGTAATTGAGTCCCAGCCAGAAATACTTGTAATGCTTGTTTTAGCCTGTATAGTGATAACGAATCATGATATAGTATTGTACAAATAATATATCTATAGTATACCAGATAAGTGTTCGTGCGACAAGAAAAAAATAGAAAGGATTAAAAAAGATACAAAAGGGCCAATTCTGCCTTTCCCGCTTGACTGATTTATCTCGATAACATAGACAACATTCCTAGTCAAATTACCAAGGCAGTCTGTCTTTCTTTATACACACTTGCCACGTAACATCTTCTACATCTTCTTAACAATAGAAGTACTTACCACATATACTTATCCGTTAGACAATGGGAACGGTCCAGATCACAATCGCTACCACTAATCCATGAATCGTAAGCTCACAATGTTAACCTAGACGTAAAATATTTCTATGGAAATAAGCTATGTATCAAGTACAGTGATTCAAACACGATGAGATATGACAAAATGGGTTAACACTGTTTATCTTACCATTAGAAAACACACGGCGTCTCCAAATTCAGTAACTACTTTTACAAAAACTCCTAACTAGAGAATTTATAGCGCATTCCGTCAGATATCATACATTTCAGAATTTTGAGCAGGTACGAACCAAACTTCCGATAATGTCTTAGTCACATGCACTGATATGAAATATAACAAATTTTACATGGAAATTACCGTTGAATTGTCTCTACCATGTGATTCCTCGGCAATAGTCGTGGAAATAAAATATAAAACTGCGTGATGAATAACTGTTAATCATGTAATCACTGACAGAATTCCATCGCTTGGAGCCGGGAGTGATCATGCCAAGTTTGTGCAGTTTGTTGGACTTCCTTGTGTCGATATGTCTTACTCGTACGATACGGTAAGTGTTTGTTGGACTTCCTTGTGTCGATATGTCTTATTCGTACGATACGGTAAGTGTTTGTTGGACTTCCTCGTGTCGATATGTCTTACTCGTACGATACGGTAAGTGTTTGTTGGACTTCCTCGTGTCGATATGTCTTATTCGTACGATACGGTAAGTGTTTGTTGGACTTCCTCGTGTCGATATTTCTTACTCGTACGATACGGTAAGTGTTTGTTGGACTTCCTTGTGTCGATATGTCTTATTCGTACGATACGGTAAGTGTTTGTTGGACTTCCTTGTGTCGATATGTCTTATTCGTACGATACGGTAAGTGTTTGTTGGACTTCCTCGTGTCGATATGTCTTACTCGTACGATACGGTAAGTGTTTGTTGGACTTCCTCGTGTCGATATGTCTTATTCGTACGATACGGTAAGTGTTTGTTGGACTTCCTTGTGTCGATATGTCTTATTCGTACGATACGGTAAGTGTTTGTTGGACTTCCTCGTGTCGATATGTCTTACTCGTACGATACGGTAAGTGTTTGTTGGACTTCCTCGTGTCGATATGTCTTACTCGTACGATACAGTAAGTGTTTGTTGGACTTCCTTGTGTCGATATGTCTTATTCGTACGATACGGTAAGTGTTTGTTGGACTTCCTTGTGTCGATATGTCTTATTCGTACGATACGGTAAGTGTTTGTTGCAAATGTCGGAGGCCTAATAATAATTCTAACATGACAATTATCATTACATTATTTCCACCTTTGTGTTATTCGAGCTTCAGATTAAAATAGTATTGAACGAAATGAATTATCTAATAATTTATGGACCAGAGCCTTCAGAGATTGTATAAATTACAATTATATATTGATCTCCGTTGTATTATTGCATTTGTTTTATTCTTTGCAGGGAACTCCTTGAAATGTTTTTTTTTTTTTCATGTTTTGCCGAAGTTTGATCGAACTCGAGTTAGAATATTTGGTTGAGAAGTCGGTATTTTCTTTGTTGTTTTTGCAGAAGAAGTATGATTTAGGCTCCTATCCACTGTATCACTCTGTGTACGAAACTTTCTACGCAGTGGACAAGCTCATAGACACAGGATTCAAGGTAAATTTCTCATTTGACAGTACTGAACAATCAATTATCAAGTTTATGACAGCCGCCAAACACTGTCTGATTGTGAATGTCCTCCTATCTTGCAAAACGGTTTTTTTTTTTTAGAATATTCATTCTAGTGCAGAATTTATTAATAGTTATTTTTACCAAAAACATTTATTTGAAAGGAACTCAGTAATCATATTAAAACTTACTACACTACACTGAACACAATAATTTATGTATGGGGTGTAACCAATGTTAGGCTCCATAGATAGTAAATTAAATACAATACCTACGCCGAGGCAAGAACGACACTTGTGAGGAAACAGAACATAGTAACTAACCTAACGGGAAAGCCGATGACTATAAATGCTCTCTCTCATCATACAATATTTTACAGCACCACAAAGCCCTGGGCCAGGTAGTTTCTGAAGTTTGTCGAAACCTGGCGGACAGTCTCATCATTCCCTTCGATGTAAATGACTTTGCTGACCAGCTTGAAAACATGGTCAGCAGCCTTGACAACGAGTACGGTAAACTACTCAGAGACAATGGAGTTCGATTTGGTGCGTATTTTCAAATGCTTAGTCTAGACTGTGTTCAATATATAGTCAAATCGTGTACGTGATGAAATAATCTTATTCTGTTATTTAATATTCGAACCTACTATATCATCACAATTACATTGTAGAACTGTAACACAGGGTCTATTTTTTCAAGTAGATGACCTCTTACAATGTCTTCCAACTTACCGCTTTGTTAATATGTGGCTTCGAAAGCATGGTAATGTATGGATATATAGAATACTTATATATATATATATATGCTATGTAATACTCAGCGTTACGTTTGTGGACATTTATTTGGCTTAAATCATAATTATTGTTGGCAAACAATGGTGCCATTTGGAAAACTAGGTACAACTGTTTCATTTCGGTGTTCGTTTTCAACAGAATGGCTCCAACAAGCAGCGCAAAATTTCACAAATGAGGCCAAAAGGTTCACTGATCTGGTAAACAACGTCAACAAAAATGAGTAAGTGTCAAGAATGTCATTCCTACAATCTAAATAAAGGGCGTGTCTAATAAATCAACACGTGGGAAGGAACATGTGTGTTACTTGAGACTTCTTACAGTACAGAAACAACACAGAATGTACGAACATGACAACAGAATCTCAACACAAAATTAAATTGTATGAAACTAGGGCAAAATAGGAACAGATAAAAGGTTGACAGGGAGACGTGAAAAAGTACAAGGATAATAAGTCCATGTGAGGATTACACTCCTCTGCTTCGTTGACGATACCGCCATGTAATTAGTGGTCAATCTAAGTAGGCAGTGTCACGTTCTGAAGTGAGACAAAGGTCAACCGCAGCGGAATAACCAGGCAAATTTACGAACACCAAACACGTCCGACTTTACATTGCACACGGAAAACAAAATATTTTGCAATAAAATTATTGGGACGACAGTCAAAATTCTTCCTTATCGTCACCAGCCTACAGCTCTCGAATTGTTGCCATGAATTTGTCGACATCTTGCTCGGTAACTTGGTCATGATGTTGGCAGCATGACCTTGATTAGCCAGCTCAACTACGACATGCACACACCATCATCAGTCAAAGAACATTCACCAGCTTCTTTCGACTATTCATTTTACCAGTAACCGTCAGACTTCGAATATTCAAATGTGGTAAAGATGGTCGAATTAGATTTTGATATTCGCGTCTAGGGGTCCATCAGCTGTTAAAGGTCATTTGAAAGACACCAAAGGTCGGTTAGTGAGCCGACATGGACACTTAGCTTGCATTGTTTTAAATCATGCACGATTATCGTACAAACGAAAGTAAACAATTTTAGTGGCTGGTTTTCTTTTCATTTGTAGTCCTTTTGCCATTCGACAAATCAATGACCAGCTGATCCAGTTGGAAAGAGCCTTTATGGATCCCGCTGGACTTCCGAACAGACCTCTCGCTAGGTGTGTACTTTTTATTTTTCTGTTCCATTGAGGAAATTTGAATGGAAAAATCAAGGCATAAAAACTGCAGCTTTTAGTTATTTCTCCAAAACATTAATAAGTGACTTTCGTTTGATCTGATGGATAGTAAGCTCTTTTGGTGGACTTGTATGTCGTTACAATGTATTATACGAGTATAATTTCATGTGATTATTATTCTCCGTTTCATGTTTACATTTTATTCACTTAGTGCCTACAATCAGTTAAAAAAAGTAACTTGGAACTATTTGCTATTGACAATACTGTAAAGATCCCACTACGAGTTTAAGACCCTATTGACAATATTGTAAAGATCCCACTACGAGTTTAAGACCCTATTGACAATACTGTAAAGATCCCACTACGAGTTTAAGGCCCATTTGACAATATTGTAAAGATCCCACTACGAGTTTAAGGCACTATTGATAATACTGTAAAGATCCCACTACGAGTTTAAGGCCCTATTGATAATACTGTAAAGATCCCACTACGAGTTTAAGGCCCTATTGACAATATTGTAAAGATCCCACTACGAGTTTAAGACCCTATTGACAATATTGTAAAGATCCCACTACGAGTTTAAGACCCCATTGACAATATTGTAAAGATCCCACTACGAGTTTAAGACCAATCCACCCTGTTTGGCAATGAGTGTATTATTTTTGTACCCACAGACACATCTTGTTTGCCGCGAGCAGTGTAAACACCTACTCGGGAAGCAGTTTCCCTGGGCTGGTCGACGCTCTATTTGAGATTGAGAAATTGCCTTCTGCTGACCACGCACGAAGATGGAATGTGGTCAAGAAACATTTCTCTGTCATTGTGTTTACTGTAGGGTCGGCTCAGTCTACTCTCCGGGAAGTCACAAAGTTCATGCCGGACTGATTGGAGCAGCAGCAAAAAAGAACAAAATGTATGTTCCATACGATCTCATCATGTTAGCAGACAACTTAAACAACGATTGTTACTTTCATTTCTTTCATCAGAATACAATTTTGGCGCTTGGTCGGACCAATTTAGCTCAGAGAATGCCATATTAAAACTGAAATTATAACTTTGGCTCAGAGAATGCCATACTAAAACTGAAATTATAACTTTGGCTCAGAGAATGTCATATTAAAACTGAAATTATAACTTTGGCTTAGAGAATGCCATATTAAAACTGAAATTATTACTTTGGCTCAGAGAATGTCATATTAAAACTGAAATTATAACTTTGGCTTAGAGAATGTCATATTAAAACTGAAATTATAACTTTAGCTCAGAGAATGCCATACTAAAACTGAAATTATAACTTTGGCTTAGAGAATGTCATATTAAAACTGAAATTATTATGTTGGCTTTGAGAATGTCATCAGACATAAAAAATGAAGGATATTTGTATTGTGCAATATATTAGTACAAAGTTCATGACATGATTTTAAACATTCCTGTGAGAAATATATTTTGAGGTAAAATATTACTGTATGGAGTGCTACTTACTACGTATTATTTGTCTAAGCTCTATCAGTTTATTAATGTTTGTTACTCAGAACACCGGAGAACCTTTATCATATTATTAACTGGATATATATTGATGTGTTTGTGTGACAGTAATGACTGTAAATGAGAGAGCAAGCAAATGTGATATCGCATGAAAGTAAACTGTGCCATTATGTACAGCAATATGCTGTCGGGTGAAAGATGGAGAGAAAAAGATTAAAAATAATAAATTCAATGAAAAACACTTGAAACTCAAAATTAGTATCTGCAGTAAATTGCAATATATCTTTAGTGTATGTTTGTTGAAATCACAAGATTTTAATTCAACTGGAATGTGACGAGTTGGTGGACTTTCTTTACATTTGTCTTTAAAGCTATTATATAGATTTTATTAAGTTTGAAATGATATCTATGTAAATTACCCCGTTGTTCTACATGTAAAGTGACGAACAGAAACGTATAGATATGATAGCGAGGGTCACTGATGACACTATAACAGGAATCAATGGCCTTAGTCTCTCTGTAACAGAGTCAGTAATATTGGTCACTGACAGCACTGTAACCATGGTTATTGGCAGCACTGTAACGGGAGTCACAGGCCAAAATTCCTCTATCTGTAGCCGATGGCGAGTCAGTACTAGCCAAAAACCCCTGTCTATAGCCAGGTCAGCAGTCATTGTAATAGGAGTGACTGGCTAAAGTTCCCCTGTCTTTAGCTGAGTCAGTATGAAGGTCACTGTAACAGGGGTCACTGGCAAAAGTACCTGTCTGTAGCCAAGTCAGGATGAAGTGTCATTGTAATAGGAGTGACTGGCTAAAGTTCCCCTGTCTTTCGCTGAGTCAGTATGAAGGTCACTGTAACAGGGGTCACTGGCAAAAGTACCTGTCTGTAGCCGAGTCAGGATGAAGTGTCAACGTAATAGGAGTGACTGGCCAAAGTACACATGTCTCTAGCCGAGTCAGGTTGTAGAGCCACTTGCAGCACTGTATGGGAGTCACTGGCAGAAGTACCTGTCCCTTGCTGAGTCAGTCAAGATGAGTTACTGACTTCACTGTAAAAAGGCTGAAGTCACTGGCAAAAGTATACATGTCTCTATCAGTAACAATCATACATTCTTGGAAATATTTCAACATCAATAGAATATAATTCCCCTTCTTTTTATGTGACTGTAAAACAGACTATCACCTGTGGCCTCAAACATCCCCAAAACAATACACAATACTGTAATATGAGACTCCAACAATATTTATTATCTTAATGTCCTTATTTGGTAATGAAATAGACCTTATTGTTGTAGTATTTATTACCTCTGAGACATAATATTTGTGATTTTGTATGACACAATTTTTAACTTTTTTACTTAAAACATTATATGTACCATACATCAGCTAGTTAGCATAACCAGATAATGTGCAATAGACACGTTGATATCTAACAACATATGTACATATACTAGCATTTCAAAATAATGTACATATTCAATGTTGTGTAGCAACTATTTTCAAATGTAGTTGACCTTATAAGTGCACCTGCTCTTTAAGCACATGCCCACTTTATGGAAAAGTGGGTGGGAGGTGCACAAAAACTTTCATTTCACTGTTCTAAATTCTGTCCTCTAACTTGTATCTTCCATAGAAATGCTAGGATTTTATCTGCAATTCAATTTATGTTTTTTGTCATTACAAGGTTTTGTACCTCAACACTTTTCTTTGTAAATAGCTTGATTAAGAACAACCCTCTAATGATTTTGTAAATGTGCACTTATAAGGTCTACAATGATATTCATTTGTCAGCATAAACAAAAAAAATAATTCAAGCAGCATATCAATACATATGACAAGGACACAATAATAAATGTGTTTCACTGTATAGACAACCTATTTGTGGAATCTTCACTTTATGTGTCAAACACCAGCAAATTCATGAGATTGATAGTACATCATACAGAATGTGAAAGTTAATTTTGTATACAGAAAACATGAAGGTAAGAATTTTTTAATTAGATAAAGGGAAATGAAATGTATCAAAATATATACTGTACTTGTTCTTATAGCCAAAGACAGATTCAGACATTAATCAGTATATACCCACCACTAAGGCAAGAGATTTCTTAATAAACGTCAAAAAGACTAATGTTTTCTGTCTGTGTTCAAGATACACACAACCTGTCTCACTGAACATGTGTGTGCTGATGACATCAGAATCAGGATGGTCAATATGTATAAAGCCTCAAGCATCAGATTAATTACAGAAGTCCTTGGATATCTGTTTACAGTGGAGAAATCATATACACCCAATCTTCAGACATCACTCCTTGACACAGAAATTTTACTGGCAGGTACTTACAAACTTACATTATCATATTATAGGACATATAAGTTCCTCATCTAAAGATGTTTACAATAGAAAGTTGCATTTAGAAATTATGTTAGAAACTATTATAAATCCTACTTAAAAATAGAATTATCTCTGACATAATAATACACGTAGCACTTACAAAATTTAAGTAAACATTAAGAACAAACAGAATTGATATTTCTTAATTAAATAAAGCAACATTATAATCTCCCATGTATGATGACCTATATTTTGGATACCTCAGAAATGTCCGGAGTATCATGTATAAGTGCTGTACATTAGGAAAGTTTAACATTAAGATGTTTTCCAACAAAAAAGCCATAAATATGATAAACTGAGATGGATTCATGTGGAACATATGATGGAGTTATTACATTGATCCAAGGGATTCAGAAAATAAATATCATCAAAAATGATTATTATTCCAAGATCATAAAGAAATCAACACAGATGAACATGGTATTTTCTTGACTATTTCAGTTTATATGATTTCATTTGAGTCTATATGCTGACTGAAGAAATTACAATCAAAACTCACAAGCAAGTTGACAGAATTGGCCTTTATGCCGATTCATAATGAAAAATGAACAAAAATTTATATATTTGCATTAATTTTTTTTCAACTACAAAAAGACATGGTCCCGCAGGTAATAACAACTTAATCTACATACTCTGGAACAACCAGTGCTATGAAAAAGCACCTAAGTGATAAGGGCCATAAAAAGCATGTACCTACAGGTATGTACTCACTACCAAACCTACCTATAGGTATGTACCTTCAGGACCACTCATACTACTAGTTAGTACTCATGACCACACCTACATACAGGTAAGTACTCATAACGACACCTAACTACAGGTAAGTACTCATGACCACGCCTACATACAGGCAAGTACTCATGACCACTCCTACATACAGGTAAGTACTCATGACCACACCTACATACAGGTAAGTACTCATGACCACACCTACATACAGGTAAGTACTCATGACCACTCCTACATACAGGTAAGTACACATGACCACACCTAACTACAGGTAAGTACTCATGACCACACCTAACTACAGGTAAGTACTCGTGTCCACACCTACCTACAGGTATGTACTTACGACCACACCTACCTATAGATAAGTACTAATGACCACACTTACGTACAGGTAAGCACTTAGGGCTATACCTACTTGTAGGTCAACATTCAGAGATATACATTCCTACAGGTAAGTCAACACTGTACATGCATTTACAGGTAAAAGACCCAAGTTCAAGCAGGTATCAGCACTATACATACACCTGCCCTGAAGCCAGACGGTCCATAAATGGTGCAACAATTTCACTTGTTGCAAAATTGAATATTAGTCCAAAGGTAATGGATATGGGAAGAGCTGGCAGAGCCTTCTTAAATATTGCCAGCAACAGTAGAGTAAAACACAGCCCCTGTGGGATAAAAGATGACACAATCATTTTAAAGACATAAACATATACATAAAAGGAGAAAAAGATGAATCAATATTAACATACAGCCCCTGTGGGGGAGAGAAGAACAAATGATAGTAACACGCAGCCGTTGTAGGAGAGAGGGAAAACAGTTTATCTCATATCATGATATGCAACTTTTTAACAGAAAGAATACAGCATACATTTGTTAATTGTTGAATTTTCAAACACTTACTATTAAAATGGCGACAAAACATGCAAGGGTAGTGTTCCAGTCTCCATAAGATGAGGCTTTTCCTACCAACACACTGTAGAAGATGAAGTCCCCGAGACCAAGCTTTATTCCTCCTGAAACACAGCAAAATTATACAGCTACATCTACATACTATCATTACCCCTAACAATATATTACACTACACTTGACCAGCAGTATCAAACTGATGGACTAATTCTCTTTATTTAAAACTGGAATCAGAACATGCATCCTGACCCAGGAATAACAGACTTACGTTCTTCATCCTGCTGAGTTGAGTTCTGTGTCTCGCGAGAATTGCGGGAAGCAGTTTGTTGTGTTGGTCGACTGGTAGTTGTTGGTCGGGGCCTATCACTCAAGGCTGCTACTGCATTTCGAGCCTGAATTAAATATGACAATCTATCTTATACGTTTTCAAACATAATGCTTTCAAACAGCTGTATTTCTCTCTACATGAAATAAAGAAGATTTTTGTTATCAGAAGCTGACTTGAATTTAAGACAAAATCACAATCATTAAAATGTTTACCGGTCTGGAGTGGGGAAAACTGTAAATATAAAGCATTTTGATATCTTTGATTATATAAAGTTAGAAAGCGTGTTAGGGTTAAGTCAAAATCATGTATGCATGCTACTTAACATCAATGGGCACACGAAAAAAAGACTGCATAATGGGTATGCATAATTGTTATTATCAATTTGTATTCAATCCATTTTGGGTCGTAAAATATGCTGCTGCGCAGTATATCTTGAGCATTGGCAACTAGCAAGACAGGAAACTACCTATTGGGGTAAAGACAGTGGCCTGTTTGGGACAATGAAAACTAGGATGATTATGACTATCTTTTAAAACCCTTACATGCCTGTTTCATTTTATTCTCTTTCACTTTGGATATGATGAGGAAGAAGCCATGAACACATGTCTGTTTGTGTAATGGCTGATGTCAATGTTGACATATCGGTATGTGTAGTGTGGATTGAGACTTATAACTACAGATTTATTATTTATTGAAATTGGGACTCATTAGTTTTAATGAAGCATATCTACGAGTCTTACATTTACTTATTCGTCATGATAAATAGCCTTGGTGTTATGATCTATATATATAATATATAGAGTAAAACACCATTTCAGACTTTTAATATTGTTGATGTGATGTGTTAACTGAATATTCAGATCAATTTCTTACCTTCAGAAGGTAGTTTTGGACTGAATTTTTGGATGTGCAAATCATGTCAGTAGAAACATATTTTCAGCATTTTCAATCCCATAAAGTACATGCGCATATTTCTCAGATTTTATGGTAAACTATTCTATAACCTATTTGTTGTTTATTATCCTTATCTAAATTCACAGCAGTTAACTTTTGGGGAATCGTTTTATGAAAAAGAAGTTTGGTTTATGGTATGTATGAATAGTGTAAGGGCCTTAAGATGTTATTTTCCTGTTTGTGGTGAGTAGAATCATATGTAAACAACAAAAGCACAGGTATCCTGCCTATTTAGAAAGTAAGAATATTATAAGACTGTTACAAGCAATGTTGATAAAAACATCAACAAATATTACTCACTGTCAGGATTCAAATCAAAGTAGAAGTAGCATTCTAAAGATTATCTTAAAGGTAAGCGACTCTTATCCATGTGGAGTACCTAGGACACTAAAAATGTTATTCTAACAATGTTAACTCCTTTTTAATTATATTACCTCTGCAGAATCTGTACTACTTCGGGCAAAAATTTGTTCTTGTGTGGCATTTGAAGTTAATCCACCTTCTTCATCTTCAGACGCATTGTCTGTTGTTGAACTGGCTCCACCTGTAGCTCCTTTAATATAATTAACAGGTAATGTTTAATATGATTCTGTTAAAACACTCATCAAAAGTGATTTTAAAAGAATTTTTGATGTAAAGGATGATCAACAAGTAAAGAAAATGAACTTTAATTAACAATTTAAGTTTTGTTGATTGGTTTTATAAAAATGTTCAAAATGTTTAAATTGCTAAATGTTTCTATTTCATTTAATATACATGCCCATAATCAATTTTTTTTTGAAAATCAGACACAAGGAAACAAATTGTAAAATCAACACATTATTATTTACAAACATAGAAATATGCAATTATAAATTTAAAATTTGAATGTTTAGACATAAGAAAGATATGGTGTAGAATGTTTTGTTTTGCTCCAATAAGATTTCATAAAAACACCTCACCATCTGCTTGTGTGTCTTTCTTTGATTTCTTTGATTTTTTCTTTTTTGTTTGTCCTTCTGCCATTCCAATGCCAACAGTCCAGATCATGGTAGCTGTTCAAGAAAATTCAATTAAAAGACTTACATGTCATCAACTGTACAGATTTGCACTGACTAGATAAAGTATGTTTGAGAAATCTGAAACTGCCCGTATAATGGTAACTTTATTAGAAAATGTTTTCATCAGTAAAAAAAAAACTTTCAGGCCTATCAATCATTTTTCATTTAGAAGCATGTATAAAGTAACTGGTTGTCTGGGTAAGGTAACACCAATGTCTGTTTGTTTTAGGATGGGTTTTCCTAGTACATACCTGTAATGGGTAGAATTTGTGCACAGTATCTACCCTGATTGGGAGCATTATGATAAACAATATATATAGTTATCTCTAAAGACAAAGCAAAGAAACTATATAAAATGATCAAATGATATCATCGATCGTTTCACCAAAGCTAGAAATGACTACAAAGTGAAAATAAGTACTAAAGCGGAGTTAGAAAGCCACAATTTCACATCTAACATTGTCAGTAATGAAATATTGTTATTTTAACACATACAAAATGAAAACATCATTGGAGTGTAGATATTTTGTTCGTACTGATCCACAAAAACACCTATTCATCAAATGTATCAGTTGATCATCCAACTGGGACTAGGTCCAGCCATACCTAATGTAAGTTCCCAGATTATGGGGCAATGCTAACAGACTTCTTTTTGATTAAGTCACAAATTGTATACAAGTATTAGTTTCTTCATTTCACCAAGACATTTTTACTGTATAAATTTTTTTCTGTATTCAGTTGGACATGCACAGTGTAAATGCTGAAAGTGAACGGAATGGTAAAAGTAATGTACAGAATGGCATTGGTTTAATTATATCTAAGTCCGGACAGGTCAATTTAGTTCACTTCCACAAAACGGACCCTCCTTAAATTGGCCAAATATTAATGTCCCCTGCATGGTAGGTTTAGAGAGTTACACTCTTGAAAGCAGACAATTTATATGAAGTCTGGACATAACTCCCCTATTACAAGTACAAAACAACTAGTTAAGGACCTTCCAGGGGACATAACTCCCCTATTACAAGTACAAAACAACTAGTTAAGCACCTTCCAGAGGACATATCTCCTCTATTACAAGTACAAAACAACTAGTTAAGCACCTTCCATAGGACATAACTCCCCTATTACAAGTACAAAACAACTAGTTAAGGACCTTCCAGAGGACATAACTCCCCTATTACAAGTACAAAACAACTAGTTAAGCATCTTCCAGGGGACATAACCCCCCTATTACAAGTACAAAACAACTAGTTAAACACCTTCCAGAGGACATACCTCCCCTATTACAAGTACAAAACAACTAGTTAAGCACCTTCCAGGGGACATAACTCCCCTATTACAAGTACAAAACAACTAGTTAAGCACCTTCCAGGGGACATAACTCCCCTATTACAAGTACAAAACAACTAGTTAAGCACCTTCCAGGGGACATAACTCCCCTATTACAAGTACAAAACAACTAGTTAAGCATTTTCCAGAGGACATAACTCCCATATTACAAGTACAAAACAACTAGTTGCCCTAATTGCCACACTACATATACAAAATGGCTAGTTAACCTAATTGCCACACTACAAGTATAAAACAGCTAGTTAAGGACATCCAGGAGGACATAATTCCCATAATACATACATGTTTGAAATAACTTGTTAAGAATGTTTATAAGGGCATAAATCAACTTTACATGTACAAAATACAAATTAAGGAAAATTTCAGGGAATGACTTCAGCGTCACAAAGTATTTGGTAAACAAAAATGACTAAATAAATCACATCTTACAACAGAACTTAAAGTAGTTAAACTGAAAACAATGGATAACACATATTGTGTGGGACATACACGAGTATATAAGTAACACATATTGTGTGGGACATACACGAGTATATAAGTAACACATATTGTGTGGGACATACACGAGTATATAAGTAACACATATTGTGTGGGACATACACGAGTATATAAGTAACACATATTGTGTGGGACATACACGAGTATATAAGTAACACATATTGTGTGGGACATACACGAGTATATAAGTAACACATATTGTGTGGGACATACACGAGTATGTAAGTAACACATATTGTGTGGTACATACACGAGTATGTAAGTAACTCATATTGTGTGGTACATACACGAGTATGTAAGTAACACATATTGTGTGGTACATACACGAGTATATAAGTAACACATATTGTGTGGTGCATACACGAGTATATAAGAAACTCATATTGTGTGGTACATACACGAGTATATAAGTAACACATATTGTGTGGTACATACACACATACATGAGTTTATAAATAACACATATTGTGTGGTACTTACACGAGTATATAAGTAACACATATTGTATGGTACATACACGAGTATATAAGTAACACATATTGTGTGGTACATACACGAGTATATAAGTAACACATATTGTGTGGTACATACACGAGTATATAAGTAACACATATTGTGTGGTACAAACACCAGTATATCAGTAACAAATATTGTGTGGTACATATACGAGTATATAAGTAACACATATTGTGTGGTACATACACGAGTATATAAGTGCAGGAAATATTGGTTCATTCCTCTTCTGGGCAGTCTCCACCAACATCCGCAGCGGCCCCTTGGGACAAAGTACAGCCACTAAGTCTGAAAAGGGAGCACAACCATATAGAAAGCTGTCTGATAAATCAAAATGAATGACATATCAAATGGACTATCAATTACAAATTACGTGGAATTGTCCCAAAACACCTGGAAACAAATCAAAAGATAAACAGATTTCTGTAACAGTTCTTAATGATTTTTGTCTCTGCTTACACTAATATCTAAACTAGACAATTTTTTTTATAAGCATATATATATCAAACTTTTGAAACAAGAAGAACAGAACTTCCTCTAGTCACAAACACAACCACTTATATTGGACCCTTAAAAAGCATCATACAACAACAATTACATTAAGTACTTAACAGTAAATTAGTCAAGATGGCCACTATACCTAGAAAAACATGGGTACCTACCCCAAATGACCATAACTCCTAGTAGGACCCAAGTAGTCCAATCAGGCAGGTACTTGATGAAGATGAGGGACATGAGAGCAGAGATGATGATGAGGTAGGCCTGTTGGAGGATAAGTGGACCCTTCCAGTGGATACAAATCATTCCCATCACTCCAAAGTTCCAGATCAGCAAGGCAACTGTGATGTAGTCTATTGGTACATTGTATGCCTGCAGCACCACTCTGTAATAACAATCAAGGGGATTACAACTGCTGCACTGACATTGGTTTAAATATGCTAGACAGAAGTCTGAATTTACCCATTCAGCTGATTTTTCAAACTGCTTGAAACAATTTCTCATCTTTTCCAATGATGAGTCATTGCTTTCATTTAAGCATATCCATCATTTTTTTTATTGAATGATTAAAACATGTGTTTAATACTTAGACATAGGAGTATATACCTGCATTGTATGATTACTTCACTATATCACACTGTTTTTGGAATCATGACTATACAATTCATATCAGTGTCAAATGGAAGATCAGAATGACACAATGAGTTTAATGATATCTTCAAACTTTAATGTAACACAACAGCATTCCATGTAGTGATTTTTCAGGCTGTTACCTCAACTAAAATTCTAAAATGTGTTTTAAAAAGCTCAACTTTTTGAAAGAAATATTACTGTACACAGGTGAAATGTTATGTTTCTAGTTGACAGAGATGATAACAGTAATGATAAGGACAACATTGATGTAAGAGATAATTTATGTAGCACTACACTCAAGGCTATTAAAATTTCATGCCACTGTGTCATATAGACAGATAGGTATATATTTCTCTGTCAAATATGACAATTTTTTTAACTTTAGTACGAAGTTTAGCCAAGTGTCAACCTGGATTTTGAAAACATTAACATGCTTGAAGATTATCTATCTGAATTTTAAAATTAATCTAATTTCCATATCAGATAAACAGCCACTCTTTCTTGTGTATTTAAAAAATTACTTACTCAATATACAGATAGGAGAATAAAAACAACAGCATGAGAGATGAGCCCACCAGCCAGCCATGTATGAACTTGTAGCACCTGTATTTGTAGAGGAGGAGTAGGAATATTGTCATGACAATCACCACCCCCAGAAGAATCATCGCATTAGCTAATGACTGCCATACTTTTGTCCCTGTGGTTGAGTCAGCCTTATCACCGTCATGGAATGGAGTATAGATTCTGTAAAATCCAAACTTATCAGGTAACACATGATCAACTCTGAAGTTGTATAATGATTACAAATTCTTATAAATTTCATCTGATTCAACTGATAGTACAAATAAAATAAATTTAATCAAGGAATTATTTAATCTTTTATCTCTATAAACCTTTTGCCATTTCTTTTTTCTCCAATATCAGAATAATGATATAAACAGTATTAAATAATTCTAAAACAGTAGGATCCCACTTCATACCCTTTGTGTACATTGAATGTTGTAATATCCTAAAATTTTGAGAATTAAATGTCACTTATACCAGTATCCGTCTTAATTTATCTTTACATGGCTTATAATTTTTTTCAAAAGACTGGCATCTTTTCAGGGGCATATCATTTTTGAGTTGCAAGCTGATTGAGGCATATCATCAAGATTTGATTCTTTAATGATACAGAGTTGCCTCCCATTGTTCTAATCAAATCTCATTTTCATCAGCATGTGTCAATGAAAATGAAAAAAAAAGATAGAATTTGAAGTTATATGAAATAAACATTTCTAAATCAATGGAACTAGGATTCTGAAGCAAATACAGGAATTTTTATACAAACACTGTACCATACATTTGTGACCATTTACATAGTGCATGAAGCCACCCAGATCTTACACTCTTTCAAACAAAAAATTCTCAAGAGATCATCCTGGTATGTCATTACAAACTGGTGAGTTATTTTCAAAATACTAGCAGAGTTTGAAGCTTTACCAATTTGGAAAATAACAGATTTCAATTTCCCAGCATTTTGAATGGTGATCACATCATTGAAAACAAGGCTATGTACATACTGAGCCAATTATCTAAAGTGTTGTACATGGACTAATCTACTCTGACTGCCCTGCATGTAAACACAGTGTGTAATAAGATGGTTGAAAGTCTCAAAGTGACAAAATGAAATATGCAAGAGTTCTGGAGTCCAAAGGAAGGGATCTGATACCAAGATAACATGTACTTATATTAAACATATTAGGATAAATAATTAACTTGTCTGTTTTATTTATTGAAGAGAAAACATAACTGACTTTAACCAATTTCCTATTCACTGATAGAAAATAGTTCATATTTTGAAAGTGATTCTTCTAATGAATATAACCTTAAATCACAGGGTTTTACTTGTTTCGGACACTTTGCAAGTCATTACCATTTCACAAAACTATTAACAATAAAGCTAAATGGAAAATATACCAATGATTATGTAACTTGAATGTAACTCCTTTATAAAAAAAATAGTAAGATATGTTCTCAGCAAGACTAAATTACCACTTTGCAGCTGTGGCCTTGAACCTTGGAAATCAGATGGTAAACTTACAAATAGCCAGACTTCTTTGTGTAGAAGGTGACAGAGCTGATAGAGGCAACCACCACTATCATACACACGGTGACAGGAGCAAATAACATGATGACATGTTTTGCTCCATACAGCATCACCTCATCTTCATCTTCCTCTGTGTCACCACTGGTGCCACGCCGTCTTTGTGGCTGACGTGCAGGACGAATCTCTGTCCTGGTTTCATCTGTCTCATCCTCGTGATTCGCGTCCTGTAAAAATTCAACAATGATGGAAATTACCTGTAAATAATAAGTGTAATTAATATCCATATACATAGTAATTATAAATAAACGTACAGCTGTACTATGTAGTGATATAATACAAATGCTGTACATCAAATCACCAACATACATTAAAGCATGGTTGATCATTTGACCATAATGTACGCATATTTAGAGCAAATAATGTTTTGTGGTTAAATGTTTACTTATATGAAATAAAAAGGAAAAATAACACAATGAAATTTGGTTGATTGATTAAGTCCATTGTATATTATTTTGTTAATTAATACAAGTATTAGTAAATACATTCTAAAATGAGAAAATTTCTGTAAGACATAAGTCTCACTAATGAATTTATAGAAGCTATCAACTTTGACGTTTGACACTTCATAACACTGACCTATGATCATGTTATCATCATGACATGGGGAATGTCATGTTATGATACAAGTTATGGGGTAAACATGAAACAAATTTATTGAAAGATCAACAGGATGAGATAGGACAGACATGGGTAACACTATGTAACCCCCTCTTAATAAACAAGGGTGGAATAAAACAGTACAGCCTTCCTTTCTAAAGATGAAAAAGAGAGAAAGAAAAACAAGACAAGGAAAGCTGACAAAATGACTATAAATGAAATAGGAAAATGAATCAGGATTAAATGATATTTTCAGTGTAGTTAAGTGTACATTTCAGATTATATTTTCAGTATCAACAACATAATTTTATAGTAAAATATAATGAAATAATTTAATACACATATGTAGATAAAGAAACAGATAGAACTTCGTATGATATAATGTACAATGATAGAGAGACAGAAATGCATTCATGAATAGATGTATATGTTGACTTTTGCATGAAAACAAGTTCAAGTAAAGACTTGAGTTAGTCCATATCATTAAATGTATCCTTTGTTAATATTGTCTTATGTCTATTTTTGCGGGATTGTTTCCGTTACCACTCATTATTAATCGAATTTGCTATAGTTTTTAGTGGGTGTACGTATACTCGAATTTCACAGACTAGTTGAATTATTATTTTTTTACCATACCATTCCGATGCCATTTTCTTGATTATCTCTGTTACGGGCTTCCCCCAAGTCCTCATATTCCTCCCGGGTAACGGGTTGAGTCCTCCTACCCTGGTAGGTTGTCCCGGCAGACATCAGTGGCCTGGTTTCCCCGGCTGAATCGGACGAGTCGGACTCACTCACTTTTCTACTCATGCAGTCAAAATGGAATACAGATTGTTACGTTGACTACATCAGGGGCGATATATCAGCAGATACAAATGTGTCAGTACAATAGTCAATTAACTTCCTTAAACACCCGTAATCTGTTCAATGCAAGGAAGTGTATGTTATGGTAAGCTTTGTCCCCAACTCAGTGACGAAAATGGGTGAGTCATCTATTTGTTTCATTAAAACAAACTCATGGTTTCTGACGGTCTGTTGTGTCGGGAAATCAATAACAAGTTATTACAGCGATGCGAACATCAAAAAGTAAAGACTACATCTATCCTTTAAAACTATATTCACATCCACTCGGCTGTCTTCCTTGTCCGGAAGTAGGAGATATCTCATGACACAAAAGAGCACTGAAGGGAGATAACTTGATAACTTACTTGACTTTATTTTCGCGCGTATTACAAAATCAGCATACGGTGTCTGTGTGGTCGAAGATTATTGGATTTATTGCCTCGTGCGCAGCCGTGATCACTTTGAGGGAGAGTATCATTGTAGTAGTCTATGGCTACCTCAACGAACAACAAACGAGTGTCTCGTCGCATGCCGCCCAGAGCAAAAATGATGAAGTGCCTTGCCGAATCATACAGCCCATGTTTGGCGAAAACCGGTCAGGAAACACAAATCGCTCCGAGTAAAGATTTTCGAACCAAGCGGAAGATACAAACGAGTTCCGAATTTAGTTTTATTTGCCGATATAATATTAATTAAAGCAGAGACGTATATAACACATATATACGTCTCTGATTGAAGTTTAATATGTAGCTGAGTAACAGAGAATCAGAAGCAAGTAGGATGCAAAGAACTTTTCCCACTGTTTTTCTTACTTTCTTGTTTCTATCAGCTTCACATTTGCACTGCTAAACATTTGGAAGCATTTTTTAAAAATATTATTTATGTAATAAATATTGATATAATGGTTAAAGTATGAAAGAGCTTTACAACGGAGGGGATTTTATTGATTCAGTTATTGTTTATAATATAAAGAAAATGTGGCATAAAATGGTTAGAAAAAAACTATTGAATAGATACTACAGAATCTAATATTTTCAGATAATATGTAACACACATCGCTCCGTCGTCGTATTTCCAATTAGGCCCATTTTCATTTGAAAACTTGACTGTGTATACTGACGTCGACAAGGCGTATGCTAAAACTATGCGTAATGATTCAGTAGAGAATGTCTCGGACACGCAAGATTGAATACATTGAAATCTGGTACATAGCTACTCGATTGTTTGCACGTGGACATCTTGAAAAGTGCAATCGCGGCACCTGGTGGTCGGAATAAAGGGTTATGATTAGTGTTAATCGCTTTTTGTTACATGACTAGTATTTAAACCAGAGGAGAAGCTCCCATGTATTCATTTACGGAATCACGACAACGTCCTTCTGTAGATGGTGTTTTTGTTTGCTATTTTTTTCGTCGCGCCACGCACATGAAATAGAACGAAAGCGCGAGGAAAGGTTCCAGTAACCACGATATATATGGAGAATTTATTACCATCTATGTATCTATTCAATACAAATTTCTGAATTGCTCACGGTGTCAGAACACATACTACTAAGTAAGTCGGAACTTTCGGTTTGGTTTGAACTTTTTAACACATTTAACTGTGTAGTATTTTGAGTGGTTTGGCCATTCTGTACTGACGTCATTCAATTTGTTATTAATTACTAGTTCAACTTAATAACCCTATGTTACAATGTACACCAGATATCATTTACAGCTAGCGTGTAAAGATATATACAGGTATGGTATTTTGTAAATTTGACGTTTTTATTCACTACTAGTATTGCACAAATTAGCATTGGTACTTAATATTGTGAGGCCGCGATATATCGGTCAATAGTCCTGAGGTGTGTGGTTCGATCTCTTTTATAAGAAGCGAGAATTGCCTTATGCTTATGTCACAAGGTAAATAGGAGTAAGTGTCTGTAAACGTCCTGTTTAATTTGTATTCGTTACTGTCCGTGCATTTACGTGTATGTCCTTATTTGGTGTGTTACCTGTTAGGTATTGTCAGTGTCTGTCCTTATATGGTGTTGTCTTGAGACGTCTACGTGGCCAGGTATGACAGTTGAGGAAGTCATGCGAGAGTGAGTGTGGGGTAATAAAACTAGGGATACCCCTGGGTGCTGGGCAGAACCACAGATTAGCCACGTCGCTCTGGACGTCCTCGGGAGGCCAGGCGCCACATATAGCTACGGATGTAAAGTACTGACACGACCCGACGGTCGGTGATGTGAGATGGTTTCATTCCTAAACCAGGGGTACCAATAGAAAACTTTTAACACACAACGAATCCTAGTTGATGGTGTGACACTTGCATTGCCGGGTCTCTGGACTCGCTATATCATGCTAAGGGCCTCCAAGATGGTTTTCATTGGTGTAGCCACCAGCTACAAAAAGAAAACTCCGCCTCGGAATGACACTGACTGTTCATGAGATGTATAACCAACATCATGCAACACATAAAAAGTGTAAGGATACTTTGGCTGGCTGACATAGACCATCTGTTGGGTGGGGGTGGGGATGGGGTCATATTTAACGAAACAAACAATATACGTAACTTGTTTATGGATGATAAACACCGTGATTTGATTTTTAAAGGAGTGTTTACGTTTACAAGTGCAGTACACTCGGACAAAATATTTTTTTTATTCACATCACTCAATTATCAACTATCTGATTCTGTACTATACGTGATATATGATATAACTCTGGGAGATCTACAATATAAATGAATTCCAGGACACGAAGTAAAATATATTCTCTAAGACTTTAAACTTGGAACTTGATGCAGAATACCTGAACTCGATCACTTCAAACCATTTACTGCCCGAGGTAAAAGATAAGATTGACTGAGAAATGGGAAATACAGCTACTGTTTTGTTTGGCCAATTAGCAATACATGATCTTATCGTTTGAATTTATTTTCATCGATGGTATTTATGGAAACCACTTTGGCTGTGAAATAATAGGCATTCAGTAGTGTTTTGCCAAAACCGTATGTGTCTGTTGCATTCCTTTCAACACACCATTAGATTGGCGAAGCCTTGACATGTTTTATGATGAAGTTTGAAATAGAAAGTGGATCAGATTTGTAGAACAGAAAAAAAATAAAGATACGATACCATACCACTAAATAACAATAACCTTCCTATCGGATGTGGCGGTAACACGGGGAATCGCTTGTCGGTGGGGGGCGGAGGTGGGGGCGGGGGATCGGGTTTTAGTTTTACTTTGGGGGATCTCGTATCCAAGGTACATCAAACTTATCTATGTATAATATATTATCTCCAGCTGAAACCCCGAGGTTTTTCACGCAAACCTGGAAACGTTTTAGCACAATGTGTAGATCGAAGCATTGACGTATCAAAATCTATAATATTTGCTAACATGAATATTTCATAACCACCTTTACATTTAGTAACCATGACAGCAATGCCAAATAACAGTTTCTTTAATTGGAAGGGGAAAAGGAAGAAAATGCCCATAACGTGCTTCTAGCGAAATGTTCCTTCGGGAGGAATCTTGCTATTAAAGTGAAAAAAAAATTACATAAATATATATATTATACACAAATCTACCCAATACGGACAAGCGATTCCCCTGCGGTACCGCTTGCACCCGGTGGTTCCTGAAAAGGAGTGTTTTGTGTGTGTTGATATGTAACATCGCTATTTGAGCGCCATAGATATATAAAATAAAGAAATAACCTAAAAGTGATAAATAACTTCTCATCACTAACCGCGCCTTTTTACCGCGATCAGCTTGTACGTACCGAGAAAATGCTTCTGCTTGTTGCCCTTTCGCGTCGAGAAAGTGCGATTTAGCAAATTAAACGAGACTTCGCGACTGCAAAGCGCAACATGGGACAGTTAAAAAATGTTTTCTCGTAGCGACAATGTGCCGTTTTAGAATAAAACTGCTGTTTCGCGCTGTTGCGGCGGCAAAACGAAAAAGCATGCAAAAATAAACCAAACCAGTCCTTGCTTATGCATCACATTTGATTTGCTCTAGTCTACGGTGTTAAATGTGCCGTATTTTTCTTTGCACAAATAATATGCATACACAAGAAGGAATTGTGTTTATGCCTTATGGATGTCACTTGCATGCTAATCTTTTCGATATCGATCCAATAAGGTTAACACTAGTTTTCCGTTGTCCCTGATAATTACTGTTTGTAATAAGATATAATTACAACTATACATTTTCCATGACTCTTAACGTTGTGGATACGAGACCGATGAACTTAATTTGTGTCGTTATGACCATCGCTGAATAAACAAATAAAGATAAGAAAAAGATCACAAGCTGGGATATTTTGTTCTGTAGTCGGTTCCTTGTATGGGTCAATATTCAGCCTATATCAATGCAGAATGAAGAGTAAATACCATACGTTATCGCACAACTAAAATAGAAAAATGCAACTTTCATTCACATTATATGGTACTTAGAATTACAAACACTGCAGCTGTCGCGTGGACGAAATATACTACTTAATTATTGGGTTCGGTAGTCTGTGATCTGTAAAGCACGGTTACAATCAAAGCAATGCAGCAAAATGTAATAAAATCTTGGAAGTATCTGGCCTAGTCGTATCATCTCACTCGGCAGTGGTGTTGGCGGAGCAGACAAGCGCTTCACAGCCAGTCCACACTATCGATCTCACACAGACGAAAAAATCAATCGGAGCATTGTCCTGTTCTTATACACTGGAACTATGTTGTCATGTATGCGATTCAGAAGCTGTAGTCATGTCCTTATCAGGGATAATGTAGACGGTAAGTATCTAATTAATTTTGTGCGTTTTAAAATGAAATTTAGTATTGCATAATTTTTGTTTTTCTAATTCTCACACGCAGCTATATGCGAACGCACCTGCATTTCCTTACAGCCGTTCAACCAATCAAATACCAGTATTGATTTCAATATTCAAAATGGCGCTTCAGTAACTTTGCATGTGCCTTGGCATTTAAAGGTTAATGAAAACGCACAGAAGACGCCTCGGAAATATTGAAAATGTTTAATATCAGATTGATGTAGATGGGGTTGCATACATTTTGTAAATAATGGCGAGACCACGAAGTGTATAGCTTCAACATCGTCGTGTGTAAGGAGTCTGGAGGGTAATACTCGGCAGCAGCAACAAACAGCGGCAGTAGCAGCAGAGGAAAGCGTGTAGCCTACTGTATAAGCAGACGCTAAATTAGAATGCGATGTTACCGTGATTGATCGGAAGGACGGCAGAGCCCGTACAGTAGCGTTACACTATGGTTATGTTAGTCGAGACTATACCCATCTATTTTGTTTGGAATTTAAACTCCAATGCAGATGGCAACAGTGCTACCAGTCTACTACTGACAATATGTAGTCTGTCTGGCGACCTGTAGCGGGCAATTTTGTTGTTCTCGAGTTTTATAGCATGTGATGGATGTATTGCCTCTATACGGGAAACAAAGAGGAGGAATATGTTTAATGTACAGTCGTGAATATTTTACAAGTACTCGCATATAATCATCATCGGAGAGACTCTGGGAGCGGTAGAAACGCCTCCTGTTTTTTTAAGTTTTGAAAGACACTCTAGTGTTCCCAAGCTAGGGTTATTTCTTAGCTGGGATGTCGACTGTTTGATTTTTCCCAATAATAGATTGACCTAGGAGAAAGCAGCTCTACCGACCCTGTGTTGAAGCAGTGAGGAGGGTATAACTGGAGATGTCTTCCCTCTAAAGGTGAATCTTTCGTAGCTTTACCGAGTGGTTTTGGTGATTTATGATCTGGTTTTGTAATTCAGAGTGTGGAATGGCAAAAACTACAGAAATAAACACCATAGAAACTTAAAATCATCAGTATAGACAGTTTGGTGAGGAATCTGGGTTACTGAGTCAATAATTGTTGGTTTTCACTTCCCCTTAGCACATACTTTAAAGCATTTAAAAGGGTAGCAGCATGCAATGTGAAGTTTGATGCAATTATATGTGTGTTGCTTTGTAGCAGAGAGCAACTCTATAGATGTATATCTGATAATCTGGACCTGCCCCCAGTTTGTTTACATGCATGCTTGCCCAAACATTTCATGTGTATATATATTCTGTAGCTGTGTACTAACTGAATCACTCAACACAGTATTCCTAAATGATGCTTCATATAAAATCTTATCAGCTAAAAACTGCATTATGTTTTTGATATCTTAATCTATTAATTTAAAAAGGGACATGAATTTTATTAATCACAGGATTTATATGATTGCCTATAAATAACAATTTTAGTAATTTAGATCTTGTGCTTCACAGTTAGTATTAGCATTTAAACAGCAAAAGCAATACTATTGTTGTAAACATACAGTGCATACCACAAGTAAAACTGGTAATATACACTTAAAATCTGGTGGAGTGTTAATTACACAATTTACAAGTGTATCAATTAGTGAACAAAATAAACAAAAATAACCTTAATCACAGTGAATATTGTCAGACGTGGCAAAACCTGTCTATCTTTGATAATAATGAAAGAATTTCAGGTCATATCTTTAGATTGTACAAATTCCTTTGTAACAAAGAAAAACAATTATTAAGGAAAAACAATTGAAAGGAGTTGTTGACATATCAATTAGTTTACCTGTTCATGTAGTAAATGCAAAAACTGTCAAAGCGTTTGAACACCTATTGGATAATAGTTTCAGGAACATAATTCATGGTTTTGAATTGGTGCACTTCATATGCCATGTCTTTGATACTAGTCTGTTTTATGGAAATGTTAGATATAGATCTAGAAGCTTTCAGAGTCTGTCTATCAAGTTGATGTCATAAGGTGTTAATGTGCTTTTAAAATAAATGAATAGATATTGTGTTAAACTAAAAGTACACGATGTATTTATGTCAAATGAACATAACTAGATCTGTCAATTTTTATTTTGAGTCTGAAATTTGATTTAGTTTTTTCTTTTAATTTGAGATTTCTCAGGATTTATTAAAATGCTTTTGTAGTATTGTAAAGAAAGGATAAAGAGATGGGACTGGTACTGTTGGCATGTCCAATCAGCAGTATTTAGTAATACACTGCTATCAATAATGTACACTTATTATATTGTGTGTTTAGTATGTGTCCCTGGGGCATCATTAAGGGGGCTGGACAGATGTAGGAGTACATAGCTGATGGGATTACCACTCTAATAAAGACATCTGTGTACTCAAATATTGTTACATCCATTGCATGGTACAAAGCCTGAAAAACACATATACTTGTCCTTTTAGAGACCCTGTTTTGTTGGACATGGTTCAGCATTGGTGCACTTGTATCATTATCCATGTAAACATTAACATGTACATCAACAGTTAAAAGTTTTCAGTCCATCACATGATAGTTTTTACTTCAGGTTCTTAGAATGCATTTTATAGAAGTTGCTGCAAAACATTTAAATCGTTTTTGAGGCATTTAAGACTTTAATACAAATATGCTGTATACATGTACATTATGTATTCTGTGTAAAACATTAATAAACAACATTCTGGCCTCCTGGATCTTGATGATGAAATAGAAATACACTTTAAATATCGTTAGGATTACATGGTACTTGTATTGATAAAATAAAGTATGCTAGTTGTTATACATGAATCACCTTACTGTAAGTACTATTATGTACAACATTGTAATATATTTTAAAATGAATTACAACATATACAAATCACATTTTAGTTTTACTTTGGTTTACAGGAATTTGTAGTATTAAGTTGTATTTTGTAAATGTACAAATATGTAATTGTACAAACACTATTAGACTTTGAGCAATGTTCAGACCTACATGGATATATCCATTGTGCATATTAAGACTTACTTTCTATCAAAGTGTTCAAAATAAATATTTGTTGGAAACATTTAAAAAAAATCTTATCTGTTATGTCACACACAGGTGCTTAACTTAGTGTATTTTTCTTACATCAGTACATATTGATTTCCCCCCCATGATCTTTGACGTTCGTAATGCCATAGACTATAGCAATAGAATATATACTAACAATGTAAATGTGCAGTAAATTCAGTGAGAACAAACAGTCAAGTTTTATTTCTATGAATTATGATTTATCTGCAACATTAAAGTTAATGTTGAATATTCGTGTAGACACATTCAGTTATATAGCAATGATGTTAAAATGTAATATTCATTAAAATATAAAAATTCAACAGAGCCCTGATGATACATATCATTGTCTAGAAAACCTCCATATACACATGAAGAGTGGTGCTGATGTTGGCAGTACATATCATTCACCTTCTGGTGTTAACTTGCATGTTTGTTAATGACGAGAGAGCTCAGCTTTAGTCAGTCCATATGAATGGAATAGCTCAGACGGTACTACACTTCTCTTTCATTTCTTAAGTGATTTTATTTGGAATATTGCTACAGAAATTTTAGTGGTAAGTGTTTGGAATTACTATATCTCGTATATCTCGTGGTGTTTACTACTGTTTGGGATTATATTTACATTAAAACAAAATCCTCAGCAACTGAAAAGCTTGATTTCTTTTTTAGAAGGCAATTTTCTATTTTGTAAATTTCAAGTAAGGCAATATCTACATTGAAGTGAGCACTTGCAGTTTTCCTCAAAGAATTTGACCTTTTAACTTAGGAAATGAATTGGTAAATGAATTAATGTCAAAAACATCACTTGTACAATTTTTTTCTCCCCCATAATTGTAAGGGACTAACTTAGATGGAATCAGTTTTTGATTGCTGGGAAAGATCAAATGAGCAAATTAAATGGATGATGGGAGTAGGGCTAAATTTGGTAAGATGTGTATTATTGTTGGACTAAGGAGTTCAATCTTATGATATTGTACAAATGAATGCTATCAGAGAGCAGGCCTAGTAGGAGAGAAAGAAAGAAGTGCTCTAAAAATTTGGAGAAAGTAAAGGAAGATGTTTTCTTTTTCATTTTTGTCTGCAGCATCTTTTGTCTAAGAGTGTGGACCTCAGATAACTGGAGTCCACTATAGTACAAAGCATGGATAAATCCTGGCCAGCTGTACTACCTTCATCAGTAAATTTACTCATTGGCATTTTGCATAAAAAATTACTCTTGAATCTGGAAAATATTCTTGTTCTCAGAAAATATTTCCCAACAAGTTTGATTGATCCCCGAATGTAAATTTATCATTAAAACTCTACAATAGCTTAGAGTCATAACAAACATAGAGTGCTATCGTTTGTTGGCACACTTTTAAAGATGAGGTGTCCAGAAGAGGAAATGGAAGTAAATTAAAATTGTCATTATCAATATAGGTACAGGGAATTGGGTGTAAATTTTGTTTGGTACATACTTTGGCCCAATATGAACACTAAATAGGTCAACATTAAAAGACTACTCCCATCACAAGATATATATAGAAATCTTATCCTTATTTAGTTTGGACCACAAATATAAAGTGGATTTACCAGTAAAGAAGGTTTGGTACAGTTAGGGTGTCTTGGCCAAGAAGGCGTAGAAATGTAGCATAAAATGTATTGGTATTGGCTTCCTGAGGACAAATGGCAAGGCTAGGTAGAGTTTGTGATTGATGATTTTTTGTTGTTGTTGTTTTTGCCTCTCCACCATTATAGATAGATGAGACCAGTTGACGTGTAACCTACTCCTTCTCTTGTTTGATGTATAGAAGTAAATGATATGAAAAATAATACTCTGGTATGAAATCAAATGGAATTGAAATAAGACGCCATTATACTGGTCTATGTCTTGCACGGAGCATTGATTTTTTTGTGGTCACTTTAAACTTACCTTGTCACTAAATGTAAGATCAAAGCTTTGTGTTGTTAACATAACAATTAATTTGTTTTGTCAAATATAAATACTTTTAATTACACTGATATAGATACTTCTAGGCAGATCTGAATTGTTTTCTGAGGACAGGTTTGTTTTCGTACAACATGGTTTATAAACATGATAAGCGAGTGTTTTAATTGGTAATGCTTTTATGTTTTGACATGGTTATTTTGGTTCAGATGTTAGATTTTATTCTTTAGCATGGCTTACTTTATTGAATTTATTTTTTGAATTGGTGTCTAATTTTATACTGTATTGTCTTTGTGGTGTTCTGATATTGTTTAAAGCATACATGCATTGTAGCAAACATATTTCTTATATTTTTCAGGAATGGCACTCACCCCTAAATATAAACCAAGGACGGAGAGCCTGCCCAATACATTGTCAAGTGCAATGTTTGGGAATGGGCAGGCTAACCCTGAGGACAACCCTAACTATCTTGTCTACAAGAAGGTAAGTCACTAATACATTGTTTGGGACAATGTTTTGGAGTGGGCAGGCTAACCCTGAGGACAACCCTAACTATCTTGTCTACAAGAAGGTAAGTCACTAATACATTGTTTGAGACAATGTTTTGGAGTGGGCCGGCTAACCCTGGGGACAACCCTAACTATCTTGTCTACAAGAAGGTAAGTCACTATACATTGTTTGGGGCAATGTTTGGGAGTGGGCTGGCTAACCCTAAGGACAACCCTAGCTATCTTGTGTACATGAAGGTAGGTCTCTGATACATTGTGTGGGGCAATGTTTGGGAATGGGCAGGCTAACCTTGAGGACAACCCAAACTATCTTGTCTACAAGGAGGTAGGTTTCTAATAAAATGTCTGGGACAATGTTTGGAAATGGGCAGGCTAACCTTGAGGACAACCCTAACAATTTGATGTACAAGAAGGTAGGTCACTATACATTGTCTAGGGCAATGTTTGGAGGTGGGCAGGCTAACCCTGAGGACAACCCTAACTATCTTGTGTACAAGAAGGTAGGTCACTATACATTGTCTAGGCAATGTTTAGAGGTGGGCAAGAGGCAAACCCTAATTATTTAGTCTACAAGAAGGCAGATGACTGCAAACTACATAACTACTGTGTGTGCGTGTGTTTTTATCAATGCTGATTTCTGCTCAATCAGGAAAATATGTTGACCATATGATACTTGGCTTAAATGGTAATCTTTCTAAGTTATCAAAATCTATGAAATATCAACTTAAACCCTAGATCCATTTTATTTCAAGATTTTGTTTTGGTAATATCATAAATGGATAATAGATTGTTTTTATATTTTGAGTAATGGTGATGACTTTTGTTATTGTGGGTCGTGTATCAAAAAGCTTATGCAAGAGTGATATATCGTTATCCACATAAAATCTCACTATTATCATGACCTATTGCGCTGTCATGTCTTTGTTGATATAAAGGTACACTTATTCACTATGGCTCTCTAAAAATCAACACAAATAGGGTATAATGTTTGGTCTTTAAAGTAAATCTAGTGGTGAAAAATGGTTTACAAGTTTTGACTGATATGGATCAGAAACTAATTTTGACGTGATCATATTTCAACGCAATGTCAGTTTAGAACAAACAAACAAAATGATGAATCTGGGCATTTAAAATGATTGCTATATTGATGTCATGCAGAAACTGCAATAAATACCATAATATTTCAAGGCACTGTCTTTAGGCCAACAACGCTTATGTTTACATTGTTTGATTTGGAAGTATAGAAGTAGAGTCTCTGGTCAGAGGAAGTTTCACTGTAATTTTATGGCCTTTGTGTTATTCTGCAGAAGTTTTATGGGAATACCAGTATACCAATGGTAAATTTACAGCTGTATTTAAACTACGAATCGTATATTCAAATTTGTCTTATGTTTCTTATTTTCTTTATATTTATGTTTTTACGTTGTATTGTGATACCGTTCACTTTGGTGGCACTCTGCCATTTTTCAAGAAATCTGAATCTTTATCAGAAATTGATTCTGCTCTGGAGCTGACGCCATCAGTGGTAGAAGTGAATTTGAATTGTGCGGGAGGATTCAGATGGCTGGGCATAGGAAATAAAGCTTACTAAGAGTAAAAAAGTCATATTGGATGATGTTATTATTACACTGTCAGGGTAACATTTTTATAAATCTTTAGTATCAAGTTGATCTGTTTTCTTAATGTATGTACAATTTTCTCATTTTTGAAATCTTTACTCTCTGCAAAGACTTCCATGGCAGTGTTGCATAATCTGTACTAAAGCTTAATTTCTCATGGCTTACACTTAGAGGAATCAATGGCACCAAATCTGTAATATTAGGAATGAGTGAAGAAAAAATGTCCCTACCTCGACAGAGCTAGGTAACAAGGATACCAACCCTTGGTAGGCTTTTAACAAAGTTTCTACTATCCTAACTCGATAGGACTGGGTAAACATTAATACCATTCCTTGGTAGACTTTTAACTCATTTTCTACTCTTCTAACTGGATAGGACTGGGTAAACATTAATACCATTTCTTGGTAGATTTTTAACTCAGTTTCTACTCTTCTAACTCGATAGGACTGGGTAAACAATAATATCATCCTTTGGTACACTTTTAACACAGTTTCTACTCTTCTAACTCGACAGGACTGGGTAAACAATGATATCACCCCTTGGTACACTTTTAACACAGTTTCTACTCTTCTAACTCGACAGGACGGGTAAACAATGATATCACCCCTTGGTACACTTTTAACACAGTTTCTACTCTTCTAACTCGACAGGACGGGTAAACAATGATATCACCCCTTGGTACACTTTTAACACAGTTTCTACTCTTCTAACTCGACAGGACTGGGTAAACAATAATACTCTCCCTTGGTAGTCTTTTAACACAGTTTCTGATATAATAATACCAACCCTTGATAGACTTTAAACGCAATATTTACTCTCCTAACTCGACAGGATGATGGTTGGCTTGAAGCAAAGACTAGTAAGGTCAGCTTTTGCCCTCTACAGCTGTAATATTATACATAAATTTTGCAATTCTTTGGTGTTTAATGACATTATACTCTTAAAACCATATGTTAATCTGTGTGCAGATCGCTATATCCCAACCCTATGTGTAAGTTAACTCAGTACATTTCTATCAGATGGATATATTTTCAGGAGGTTAGAGGGTGCATGAACAAAGCAGGATTACTTCAAGTGAAGTCAGATTTTTTTATATCTTTAATAGGAAGGATTAATGAAAAATGTCCCACCCATGCTGGGGCTTGAAATGGCCCGTCTCTTGGCTAAAGGGAAATTCCCACCAGCTGAGCCTGACAGGGTTACATGTACTCTCTATTTTACATATGTTTAACAATGAAGATAGGATAGATCAGGGAGAGGGTTATACTTAAATTATTGTAGATTTTGGCAGGAAGCTTCGGGTTAATAGCTCAAATATGTCCACCTTCTGGTGACCTGCAGACTTGACACTTTGACAGATAGGAATAGGACGACTGGGTTTCTATTTTTTAGATGCACCATTATAGACATGGAGATAAGCTGATCACTTTGGGTAGCTTGAATGCACAGGGTCTTACCATTTTTGTTAGTCAAATAGGGTCAGGAATGACTGTTATGTATGACTTATAAACAACCTTTGATTGCTTAAGTGACTGTCTGACAACCATTATTTCCATCTAGGAATTATAGATGCACAACATTAAAATGACACTTTGAAAACTGAGACAATTGTGAGTCAGGAAAAATCTTGATTGAATTTTTTGAAAAAATTGAACAAGAAAGAGCATTGCCAAAATTGATATTGTCTTCAAGATCTATATGTAAATTTCTATTTGACTGAGTGAAGAGCTTCTGCTGGTTTGCTCGGTTTTATCCAATGTACATAGTAACTTAGTACACTTTAGAATGTATACAAGTGAAGTGATTCAGAGTAAAAGTCGGGAAACTACATAAAATGGGTACATAAAATGGGAAGGGTTGTTGGGTATGGTGTCAGGAGTGAAATTCTTACAAACCAATAACCAGGAGACTCCATAAAATAGGGAGGGTTGACAGGGATGGTGTTAGAAGTGGAACTCTTATAAACCAATAACCAGGAGACTCCATAAAATAGGGAGGGTTGTCAGGTATGGTGTTAGAAGTGGAACTCTTATTACATACAAATATTCAGGAAATGCCTTGAAATAGGGAGGGTTGACAGGTATGGTGTCCGCAGTAGAACTCTTCTTCTTAGCCATGATGGAAGTATTTCTATATGTCGCTTATATGAACTTGTACTTAGTCTTGGAACTCGGGTTGTAGCTGTAATAGTTTACTTTAGATGGTAGTCATCTTAGTGTTTGCACAAATAAATTAACAATTATCCCTGGTAATGTTTGCCTACTGATGTAGTAGTTATATACTTCTGTCTTGAGCACAAATATTAACTGTGTTTCTGTATATTGTATTTGAGTCATTGGCTTTCAGCAGCAATAGCGTTTGATTGTTAATGGTACATGATTTTGCAGGTACATAATACTTGACTTGAGACATTGGCTTTCCAGGTATTGAATTGTATTATTGGGAAAAACAGCTTAAGTGCTGGTTTATATTTGTCGTTGGTATGGATGGGGCATGTTATTACAGGTGAGAGAAAATGAAAATCAATTTTAATGTACCCAGCCTCACCTACAATACAAATACTTTATTCACCGATGCTTGATAATCAGTTGTAGATATAGTCATTTCATGGGTTGTATTAACAAAGGGTGTTTTCCCAATAGATCCCACATTTATTGGTTAAACATCAGCATAACCTTATCAAAATGACACAATTACATTTTATCATGGTGTTATGAATTTAATTTCTTCGGTTTGAGTTCATTTCTTGGATTGTAGTGTAAATATAAATATGCTAATTATATAGTCATTTGGGTGGAAGGGGATGGGGGATGGTTGATGAGTTTGTTTATTCACCCTTTGGTTTGGGGGTTGGGGGAGGGGTTGGGGGATGGTTGATGAGTTTATTTGTTCAGCCTTGGTTTAGGGGTTGGGGGAGAAGGTGTGGGATGGTTGATGAGTTTATTTGTTCAGCCTTGGTTTAGGGGTTGGGGGGAGAGGGTGGGGGATGGTTGATGAGTTTATTTGTTCAGCCTTGGTTTAGGGGTTGGGGGAGAGGGTGGGGGATGGTTGATGAGTTTATTTGTTCAGCCTTGGTTTAGGGGTTGGGGGAGAGGGTGGGGGATGGTTGATGAGTTTATTTGTTCACCCCTTTATTTGGGGGTTGGGGATGGGTTTGGGAATTGGAGGTAGGTAATTCTTTCCACTTTGGTTTTCATTAACTTCGGTGAGAGATGGGATTTGCTATAATTGCCAGGTTAGTTATATTCCAGGGAGGAAACCATTGAAACCCTAATAATTTCCTGTTGTTATGGTTTGCAGTACTGTAAAAAGTAACCTTGAAATGATTGTTTGGACATATATAGTCTAATCCTGT